TTATCTATCTATCTCTTACTTGATGCAGCCTTTTTGATCTTACCTGAAGCAGCCATTCATCTCTTACTTGAAGCAGCCATTCATCTCTTACTTGAAGCAGCCATCCATTTCTTACTTGAAGCAGTCATCCATATCTTACTTGAATCATTCATTCATCTCTTGCTTGAAGCAGTCATTCATCTCTTACTTGAAGCATCTCTTACTTGAAGCAGTCATCCATCTCTTACTTGAAGCAGCCATCCTTTTCTTACTTGAAGCAGTCATCCATCTCTTACTTGAAGCAGTCATCCATATCTTACTTGAAGCAGCCATTCATTTCTTACTTGAATCATTCATTCATCTCTTGCTTGAAGCAGTCATTCATCTCTTACTTGAAGCATCTCTTACTTGAAGCATCTCTTACTTGAAGCAGTCATCCATCTCTTACTTGAAGCAGCCATCCTTTTCTTACTTGAAGCAGTCATCCATCTCTTACTTGAAGCAGTCATCCATATCTTACTTGAAGCAGCCATTCATTTCTTACTTGAATCATTCATTCATCTCTTGCTTGAAGCAGTCATTCATCTCTTACTTGAAGCATCTCTTACTTGAAGCAGCCATCCATCTCTTACTTGAAGCAGCCATTCATTTCTTACTTGAAGCATTCATTCATCTCTTGCTTGAAGCAGTCATTCATCTCTTACTTGAAGCAGCCATTCATCTCTTACTTGAAGCAGTCCTATATATCATGAAGGAACCCATGATCTAATACTTGAACACAGCCTCTGTCACTTACTTAAGGCATCCTCCTGTCTCTCATTTGAAGGAGCCTTTGATCTTGTACAGTCTTGTAGCTGCAGCAGGAGCCCTTTTACCTTTATGCATTAAATACCAGGGCCTAGATTTTCGAAGCTCTCTTAGCGCTAAGATAGTGGTAAGTGCCATACATTAACATTAACTTACGACTATCTTAGCGCTAAGAGAGCTTCAAAAATCAAGGCCCAGGTATTTATGTATCAAACAACTGGGGCATTTTTCTATAAACTCCAAGGACATACATGAGTTGGGGATTTAATGACATATACAGATACTGACAGATCAGTGGGAAAAGATCAGGAGAAGTTTGGTAATGTGTGTAGGAAACTGAGCAAGCTGACACCATGATATGGAATGAATAAACATCACGTGGCTAAAACACATTCATACCTCTCTAGATGTAAGACTAACCAGTTTTGATTGATATAATGAGATGTGTGACAAATACATACATATACTTAATGTAATGATTGTATAATTGTACTCCTAATGAAGGGGGATATATTGATGTGTTGTACTCCTAATGAAGGAGGATGTATGCATGTAGTATTGTACTCCTAATGAAGGGAATATAATATTGATGTATTGTACTCCTAATGAAGGGGATGTATGCATGTAGTATTGCACTCCTAATGAAGGGAATATAATATTGATGTATTGTACTCCTAATGAAGGGGATGTATGCATGTAGTATTGTACTCCTAATGAAGGGGATATATTAATGTATTGTACTCCTAATGAAGGGGGATATATTGATGTATTGTACTCCAAATGAAGGGGATATGTTGATGTATTGTACTCCAAATGAAGGGGATATATTGATGTATTGTACTCCAAATGAAGGGGGATATATTGATGTATTGTACTCCAAATGAAGGGGATATGTTGATGTATTGTACTCCAAATGAAGGGGATATATTGATGTATTGTACTCCAAATGAAGGGGATATGTTGATGTATTGTACTCCAAATGAAGGGGATATGTTGATGTATTGTACTCCAAATGAAGGGGATATATTGATGTATTGTACTCCTAATGAAGGGGATATATTGATGTATTGTAATCCAAATGAAGGGGATATATTGATGTATTGTAATCCAAATGAAGGGGATATATTGATGTATTGTAACTCAAAATGAAGGGGATATATTTATGTATTGTACTCCAAATGAAGGGGGATATATTGATGTATTGTAATCCAAATGAAGGGGATATGTTGATGTATTGTACCCTAATGAAGGGATATGTTGATGTATTGTACTCCAAATGAAGGGGATATGTTGATGTATTGTACTCCTAATGAAGGGGATATATTGATGTATTGTACTCCAAATGAAGGGGGATATATTGATGTATTGTACTCCAAATGAAGAGGGATATATTGATGTATTGTACTCCAAATGAAGGGGATATGTTGATGTATTGTACTCCTAATGAAGGGGATATATTGATGTATTGTACTCCTAATGAAGGGGGATATATTGGTGTATTGTACTCAAAATGAATGGGATATGTTGATGTATTGTACTCCAAATGAAGGGGATATATTGGTGTATTGTAATTCCAAATGAAGGGGATATGTTGATGTATTGTACTCCAAATGAAGGGGATATATTGATGTATTGTAATTCCAAATGAAGGGGATATATTGATGTATTGTACTCCAAATGAAGGGGATATATTAATGTATTGTACTCCAAATGAAGGGGATATATTGATGTATTGTACTCAAATGAAGGGGATATATTGATGTATTGTAATCCAAATGAAGGGGATATATTGGTGTATTGTACTTCCAAATGAAGGGGATATATTGATGTATTGTAATTCAAATGAAGGGGATATATTGATGTATTGTACTTCCAAATGAAGGGGATATATTGATGTATTGTACTCCAAATGAAGGGGATATATTGATGTATTGTACTCTTAATGAAGGGGATATATTGATGTATTGTAATCCAAATGAAGGGGGATATATTGATGTATTGTACTTCAAATGAAGGGGATATATTGATGTATTGTACTCCAAATGAAGGGGATATATTGATGTATTGTACTCCAAATGAAGGGGATATGTTGATGTATTGTACTCCAAATGAAGGGGATATGTTGATGTATTGTACTTCCAAATGAAGGGGATATGTTGATGTGTTGTACTCCAAATGAAGAGGACATGTTGATGTATTGTACTCAAAATGAAGGGGATATGTTGATGTATTGTACTCCAAATGAAGGGGGATATATTGATGTATTGTACTCCAAATGAAGGGGATATATTGATGTATTGTACTCCAAATGAAGGGGGATATATTGATGTATTGTACTCCTAATGAAGGGGGATATATTGATGTATTGTACTCCAAATGAAGGGATATATTGATGTATTGTACTCCAAATGAAGGGGGATATATTGATGTATTGTACTCCAAATGAAGGGGATATCTTGATGTATTGTACTCCAAATGAAGGGGATATGTTGATGTATTGTACTCCAAATGAAGGGGATATGTTGATGTATTGTACTCCAAATGAAGGGGGATATGTTGATGTGTTGCACTCCAAATGAAGAGGACATGTTGATGTATTGTACTCCAAATGAAGGGGATATGTTGATGTATTGTACTCCAAATGAAGGGGATATATTGATGTATTGTACTCCAAATGAAGGGGGATATATTGATGTATTGTACTCCAAATGAAGGGGATATATTGATGTATTGTACTCCAAATGAAGGGGATATATTGATGTATTGTACTCCAAATGAAGGGGGATATATTACTGTATTGTACTCCAAATAAAGGGGGATATCAGTGTAGGAAAGATAGCCCGTCCCAACGTCCGAAACGGGTAAATTTTATGGAGGACGGGTTAAAAAAAATCTAGTCCGTCCTCATGTCGGGTCAGTTTTAGCAAACCAATGACATATATGTAATGATTATAACCTTTTTGAATATTTACTGCCAATGGATACTAGAATAATCCAACAGATAAAATTATCGCAAACGAAATCGATGAGATAAGACAAACCAGTTTTAAGTCTTGAAATGGTGTGTTATTTACATTCGGAGGAGAGGCTAGATTTTGGCAGGACTGGTAAAATATTTGACCAGCCAGTCCTGTGGACAGGCTAGATTATCTACATCTTTCCTACACTGGGGATATATTGATGTATTGTACTCCAAATGAAGGGGGATATGTTGATGTATTGCACTCCTAATGAAGGGGGATATATTAATGTCATATTGAACTCCAAATGAAGGGGGATATATTGATGTATTGTACTCAAAATGAAGGGGGATATATTGATGACTTTATATTCTCATTCATCTGTGCATACCAGTAGACCCATTGAGACAACCTGTCTACTCTGGGGGGTTATGTGTATGCAAGATAAACTTCTCTCTTGTGTGATGTGACTAGCATGATTGCTGGATACCAACACAAGATGGAATACAATGTTCTGTGGGTCATGTATGTGACACTCACTGTCATGTTTTGAAATAGCCCAATGTCAAGCACAATAAGCTAATTCCTCACTGATCCGAGACAACCAGGTCCAGCATCTACATCAGTAAAATTTGTGCAAGAAACTGATGATCATCAGTTTTATACCCCTGTTTTTCATGATAATGCTTCAAGGTTTATCAGGGCCAAACAAGTGTGGAGTTATGTGATAAATATCTACATATACAACATGTTGTGATTGCATAATTGTACTCCAAGTGAAGGGAATATGTTCATGTTGTATTGTGCTCCAAATGAAGGGGGATATATGCTTGTAGTGTTGTACTCCTAATGAAGGGGATCGATGCATGCATGTAGTATTGTACTCCTAATGAAGGGGATATAATATTGATGTACTATTGTACTCCAAATGAAGGGGATATAATATTGATGTATTGTACTCCTAATGATGGGGATATATTGATGTATTGTACTCCTAATGAAGGGGGATGTATTGATGACTTTATATTCTCATTCATCTGTGCATACCAGTAGACCCATTGAGACAACCTGTCTACTCTGGGGGGTTATGTGTATGCAAGATAAACTTCTCTCTTGTGTGATGTGACTAGCATGATTGCTGGATACCAACACAAGATGGAATACAATGTTCTGTGGGTCGTGTATGTGACACTCACTGAACATTTTCACTGCCTACATGGAGGTATGAACTGTTGTATGTTTGTGTTCTTCCAGAGCTACATTGTCTGTGAGCTACATGAGAAGATTGGTATGCTGTGGTCTTTTGTCAAGAATCACCTCAAGTCCAAGGTCCTGGTGTTCTTGTCCTGCTGCAAGGAGGTAGGGTTCCCCCTGGTGTCCTGGCAGTTGATGGTGCCGGCTTCAGGACTTGGTTTCAGTAATCTTGTTTCATGGATAAGAACATTCCTGATTTGATAGCACCTCAGGATCCACGTTAGAATGAGTCTTCAGAAACCCATACTTGTTGTGAGAGGCCACTAAACGTGGTGTCAGGCTTGGTTGGTACATGTCATTGTATCTTAATTGTGCAGATCAATGCTCATGTTGTCAAGTAATGGATTGTCTGGACTGCCATCATATAGCTGGAATATTGCTGATTGTTCAGTAATAAACAAACAAACTGATTTGATGCATTGAATATGCTTAAAGCTGTTACATATGTAACAACCCAATATACTAGTAAACAGTAGTAATTTTGTTATCATACAATGTTTCACAATACCTTTTTTGGTTGTTTTACGCCCATGGTGCTTGGAGTGTTGATGCACAACCAATTAATGCAACCTATTCATGAGCTAGCAAACATTATGGTCCTGAGAGAAGTAAAGATTCTTTACATGTAGCCAGTAATCAAGCAAATGGATGTGTCATATTAATGTTTCCAAAACTGGTCTGTAATATTTTTTTATTTGGCATTTGGTATGAGACATTTACCTTAACAGTGCTGATCTGGATCTAACATTTCACATTTGTGGCAAATGTTGTAAAAAATAGTCAGCATGATGAAATACACAATGCCATTTTAGAAAGTGATCAAATGTAACATATGTTATATTTGGGATTACACTTTCTTAAAAAAGTACAGATTCTAGTACTTTTGGGGGAGTTGAGTCCCATCCGGGATTCGAACCCACACCCTCAGAGTCAGGCACCTAATCGCCAGCACACAATGTCAGACGCCTAGACCGCTAAGCCACCGCGGTGGGACTCAACCCCTTAAAAAAGTACTAGAATCTGTACTTTACTAAGAAAGTGTAATCCCAAATATAACATATGTTATCAGTCAGCATGATGTTTCTGTCAGTGATATTTTGTCCGTTTAGGTGAAATATGTCTATGAGGCCTTCAAAGCATACGCGCCAGGTGTTACAGTGTTGTGTCTCCACGGCGCCATGAACCAACTGAGGAGGGTGGAGGTGTATAACTCCTTCTGCCGGAAACACAACGCTCTGCTGCTGGCCACAGATGTCGCCGCCAGGGGACTGGGTATGTGACTCTCAGTTGTTGTCTCTAGACACATTGAGAACATTTGATAGGGATGGTTTGTAGAGCGTTTATGTTGTGTGCATTTTAATGTGCTTCATTTGAGTAATGTTAAAATTTAAGAAGGGAGATAACTTTTGAATATTTGTGGTAAACAAAGGAACATGTTATTACCAGGTTTAGTGTCTTTTTACTTGTTGACAAATCTTATTAAAATTATATCTTAGTTTACCAAATTTACCTGTCACCTCAGAATGAGATTTTGCAAACTTTGCATAGCCACTGAAATGACTAGCAAGAAGTTGAAATATCCCAATCAGGAAGCATCCTTCTTGAGCTTTAGGCCACTCTTGTCATACCGGCCACTCCTGTTCCAGACTGGAATCTACCCTTTAAGAAATATTATGACATAGCTCATGCACAATTATGGAATGACTCCTTGTTGACTGAGATTGTGTGCCAGTGCATGCAGAGAGCTCTGCAATGTCTCTCCTGTTCAGATGTTAACCCCATCGATGATGATTTGGTTGGAATCAGTCATACAGCTCTGTCTCTCAGAATACCCCGATTATCACCTGATCTAGTAAATGATGCTCTAATTCAGCAGATGATTACTGTGATGTGACCTGCAAGGGATGGCCATAGATATTCACTTAGTGGTCAGGCTCGCTGACTTGGTTGACACTTGTCATCATATCCAAATTGCGTAGATCGATGCTCATGATGTTGATCACTGGATTGTCTGGTCCAGACCCGATTATTTACAGACCGCAGCCAAATAGCTGGAATATTGCTGGATGTGGCATTAAACATCAATCAATCAATCAATCAATGGTGGCAAGAGCTAAGATCTGCTTTCATGATTTTATTGAGATAACTTGTATCAATTTTAGGATTTATATTATTTTTCCTTATCCTGACTCATGCTTATTGCTTGTCTTCTTCTTCTTGCGAACATAGTGGAACACGTGTATCTCCCAATTGAAGTTCCCTTCAATTAAAAAATCACTAATTAGCACTCACCACGAGTAACCTCCCTTACATAAGCGCGGGAACGAGGGCGCCACCTCAACCCATGTGCCTCACTCTCTCCTTCTTCGCCCAGTGAGCTGGACGTGAGAGCACCTGTGTCTCCCGACACACTACAGTCAACTCTCTTTAATCCGACACTTGTGGTTGCAGAGAAATATGTCGGATTAACGAAAATGTCGGATTAATGAAAATGTCGGATTAATGTATTTGAGTGAAAATATCAATGTTTACTAAATGTCATGATCGTCATACTGTTGCATGCATATCAGAAATGGTAGATCTAGTTATCTTCATCGTATGTAAAAATATTCACAGAAATAAAAAATACTAACAATACATACTTGTTTTCATTTATTAACATTCATAGATGGCATTACATACATATATAATCACATAAGCGAACAGTTTCATATCTATTTCATGACGTCTAATGTACAATCTGGCGTGTATCATAACATGTATAATTTATAACTTGAAAAAGTATTTGATGGTCATTAACATCAAACACGTCTAAGTGGTGTGTAAGAAATGTTTGCAAAGTGTTCAACGATGTTTTGGCCTCAGATAGCTTGAAGCATTGGAACCAGTCGTAGAGACGCTCAACCACTAAGCAGACTGCTTCAGGATGTCAGATACGGTTGATCGTCCAATCTTCACATCAAACTTCTGCTCAGCAAAAGTGATGACTTCTTGTTGTGTTGTCTGGGGTTTGTCTTTCTTCAAAAGGAGATTTCTTTCTTGATCAATGGCGTAACTTCTACAAGGGGTAGCTTAGCAGGTGGTGTACTCGTGACAAACATCTTGTGATGAAAACTCATGTCAGTTGTAATCATTTTATACAGCTTCGCTCTACTGTTATTTCTTGATTAAATCGTCTCAATTAATTATCCTGTGTTCCAAATTAACAAGTGTGATGTTCACTGACGCCGGTGTCAAGCAGCCAGTAAGGCACCTGCTAATTACCACTCACGTGTGATTGTTTGTATACGGTCGGATCATCCGACCGGCTGTGTTGATTGTCGGATTAACGAATGTTTTTACAATATATTTACAATAATAAGCTGCTTGATTGGTGTGTCGGAGTCGGAATGCGAGAATGTCGGATTAACGAGAGTAATTATCACTGTTTTAAATGGTTCCCTATTTTTTTGTCGGATTAACGTGATTGTCGGATTAACGAGTGTCGGATTAACGAGAGCTGACTGTATATCCTTTATTTATATTTAGTTTAGTACCTCTTATATTCATTTATAGAGGTGTAACTAGTATCCTTGTTCAACTTGCATTGATTATTGGTCGTGTTCTGCTGTTTTATTCACGGTTCGCCGTGTTTGTTCAGCAGTTTACGTTAATGAGAATCTGCACAAGTTGTAAACTACGTTATTCCGCTACCGATCCACATTTAAAATGCCCTAGTTGCATTACTCCATGTTCTATTGTTTCTCGTTGTAAATTATGTATTAATTTACCAATTTCTGCCTTTGATAAATATTTATGTTCCGTTTTGAGACGGAAGGCAGATAAATCTCGGAAACAATCTTCAGTCATGGCTAATAGATCGGAGTCAGATATATCCTGGGTTACCTTTGGGGGATAAGCGTGGGACGCAGTCCGCTATATCCTAGAAGCGACCTGCATCCCAGGACGTTCCTTCATCACAGTCTAAGACTAGAAGAGCTTCCACGTCGTCTCAACGTACGCTCCGAACCCCCAGGTCTACAGCTTCGTCAAAAGGGAAATCCACGAAGGCTACAAAAAAACTTTGCTTCTGATATTCAGAATTATGTTTATATGATGATGACATTCCGATTATCATTCCAGATGTACGTCATAAGAAGTGACTAGTATCGGCTACTGTCACTTCAGCGCAGATCAACATGCAACCAGAGATGCCTACGCTGACGCCGGAGATTATAACTGAGGGTCCCGTCACTATCACAGAGAGGACACCCTCAACGCCAGCACAGACGACCTGGTCAACCAAATCATGAGACTGATGGAGGACCGTTACGGTTTACAGAGGCCCCAGAGCCACGGGCCCCAGAGCCCAACCCATAATAAGTCATACAGGGCCCCAGAGCCCGCCTTGGCTTCGCGTAGGGCCCCAGAGCCCACAAAGCCCTCGCTGAAGGAGCAACCCAGCCCGTGGCGAACACTTCCAGCTAAGGAAGTCCCAGGCAGCCTCATGCGAAGGAGCTAGAGCCTCACTAGTTGCGAGGGACTTCACGGAGAAGGAGCGCTTCGCCGAGCCCACACCCTGTAGAACACAGAGGTCGTTCGCGAAGCAAGCGCTCATATATTGAGGGACATCGCGGAGAAGGAGCGCTACGCCGAGCCCACACCCTGTAGAACACAGAGGTCGTTCGCGAAGCAAGCGCTCATATATTGATCGGACTCTAGACACTTCGCTAAGGAAGTCCCAGGCCGCCTCCGCGAAGGAGCTAGAGCCTCACCAGTTGCGAGGGACATCGCGGAGAAGGAGCGCTTCGCCGAGCCCACACCCTGTAGAACACAGAGGTCGTTCTCGAAGCAAGCGCTCATATATTGATCGGACTCTGACTCGATACTTTCGCAAAGGTCGCGAAGGCTAAGTGGCTCCAAGTCTACTTCACCCAGAAGATCAAGAAGGGATACTTCGAGATCTTCGCGAAGTCCCCGGCGTTCGCTGAGGAAGTCTCCTCCAAGGTCTCCATATACTAGCCACTCGTCATATATAGCCTCTCGTCAGTCCGTTCAAGACATCGCATGAGTTGTCTATCAACTGTATGCCATATGCCGCCTACAAGCCTACGCGAAGACAATTGCACAGGCTATTTACAACACAGTACGTTGCTGTATTATTTTATCAACAGATGAAGAGCCTAATTAAGGATCTTCAAGCCGACTATCTACATCAAGGGCATCAACGACGTTTGTAGACCTTCACAGGAATCAACATTTCCGTATAGATTGCTAGGTATGCAATTCCGGACTACGATACGATTATCTACATGCGTGACCATTACGCAGTTCTGCAGACAATTCAACAACGAAATTGAACAGCAGCCTTGTTACAGCGAGTAAAACTCATAATCGTCAACGATTTCCTGAGAAGAAATATGTACAACAAGTTCAGCTTTAACAGTCTACAAGCTGACAACTTGAAGTTTATTGAACCTTATATAAGGAAGTCGGAATTATCTTCAAGACTGAAGTTACTTTCACGACAGCCTGGAAAATAACCTACCCAGCATTAATATTACAGAGCGAGGTATTTCGCGGGAGGTTTCAGCGTTTACCATTAACCCTCGAAACCGCGTGGTCACTTTCGGGTAACCGGGAAGCTACGGGGGAAGACTGGCGATTGTTCTAATATCAGCGTCGGCACTATATTATACAAGGTTCGTTTTCCTGCTACACGGTGACATCACAGCCGGGTACTCTACAGAATCAAAATGCCTTGTTCTGATTGGACCGAGATGGACAATGCCCTCGCGAAGAGGTCGATCATAGTTCACAGTTCAAGACATAGGTTGCAAGTGACAACAATGTATCAGTGAGCGAGCAAGCCTCCTTACAGTCCAGCTAATCTGAACCTTCATGATTGGGCTGCCTTCTTGAGGTAAGAGACCTCCCCTGTCAAAATAAGGGGCGAGGGAGCCACGGCAGTCAGGCGGTTTTTACATAAAGTTCAGCGATGGCAGTCACCCTTGGTTGTGCACCTACATCGTCAAAGGACTTCGCGATGGCGAATTTACCTCGATGACGGGATACAAGTGGATCCAAATCCATAGCGTCTCAGACTACAGTTGAATTCATCATCAAGCTACTAACACAACTAGATGATTAGTAAACCTACTTAAGTTGGACCTAGAACCTTCCATGAAGATCTGCTAATTCTAGGTTTTTATTTGTAACGGCGCAGAATCGTATAATTGTACCGGGAGGACCATGGATCAAGATCCAACAGTCATTTCCACAAGCCTTACTATCTCCGCTACCACTCACGACAGTGGCAGAGCCTGTTGGGGTTCACGCACTTCAGCTCAAGACATGACAGGCAGAGGCAGACTACAATTACATCCGTTACAAGTCATCATCAATTCGCATCTAGAAGAATTTCTACCGTTCAATTTACCGGTTCAGGTCAAACCTCATCTACTATGGTGGACCAAGAGATCGAATGTTTGAATAGGCGTCTCGTTAATAGAGCTGGAATCGATAACACTTCTCTACGTAGATGTGTCACTACAAGGTTGGGGAGCCCATCTTGCCAACAGGACGGCATCAGGGCTATGAGCAATCAAGAGAGCAAATTACACATAAATCTGCTAGAGATGCAAGCAGTAATAAACGCCTTAATGCACTGGAGCAACTTACTACAGTATACCCAGTGGATGATTCACACAGTCAATTCGACAGTGGCGTTTTATGTGAACAAACTAAGCTCAACCAGGTCCCCGAACCTATCGACTCTATGTTTCAATTGTTCGATTTAATCGACAATCTCAACATACATGTCAGAGCATATCACATTCCAGGAGCAAAGAATGTGATAACAGACGCTCTCTCTCGGCCACACATACCATCGCCGACAGAATGAATGCTCCATACAGAGATATTCACTCAAATTATCAAGGAAATAGGAACTACACTAATAGACCTATTTGCCACTCGATTCAACAAACAACTGACAACATTACGTATCGCCAGTTCCAGACCCACTAGCATTGGCAACAGGCGCACTAAGCATATCGTGGGAAGGACTCAGCGTGCACGCTTTTCCGCCACCAGCGTTAATCTCACAAGTTTACTCAAAATCAGTCAAATGCAGAGAGCCTCCATCTGAATTTGGTGCATGACCTACTGACCAGCGAGAGCGTGGTTTCCAACTCTTATTCAAGAAATCGGACAACCAATACTACATCTTACAGAGTGCTCGAATCTGTTAATACATCCGCGACACCAAACTAAAGCGACGGAAAGCCAGAAATATTCCAACTTCACGTTATGGATTGTATCAAAGGCGTGTCTGAATAACAAGTTATTCAGCCAGGCGACAAAGCAGTCTAGCTTGCCCTCGTAACTCAACTTGCAACTTATCACGATGACAAATGGCACAGTTTTGTCAATTATGCTGCAAAGGAAGGATTTACAGCTAGATATGCTACTCATCCTCAAGTGGCTGACTACTTATGTTATCTACGTCAGACTAAGATTTTAAAAGGCTCAACTTGTCCACCTATCTTGCAGCAATAGCTCTGTCATAACTGAGAACGGGCGTCAAGTTAACCTAAACCCAGTTACTTTCGCCTGGCTCACGAGCTTTCGATTGGAGGATTAAAACGGAAGTTTCACGCTCCAACTTGGGATCTGAATATAGTGCTCCAACACCTCACAAGTGAGGTTTATGAACACGCTTTGCTGATATACTTGGGCCCCATGATACAATGAATCTATCACGATGGCCAGTAGAGCACTGAAAATATATCTCCACCGAGCCAAACAGGAGGGGAAAATTCAAGAGATTTATTTCCTCTATCAACAAGCTACGCAGACTGAAGTCTCACGTACTACTATCTCCTTTTGGATCAGAACTGTCATACTACGTGCCTACAAGACTGCAGGACTCGACCCTCCATGAGCTTCTAATCCTCATGATATTAGAGCGCTAACTTCTACACTTGCTCTACTCGACAAGTGCTATTGAAATAACATAATGGAGGGTTAATTCTGGAGATCTGATATGGTGTTTGCCAACCACTATCTGAGAGATATCACCACGAGGACGTCTCAGGTATCCACCATTTCGGTCCCATGGTCCTCGCACAACAGTTGACAGTTCCTCGGAGAAGATAAGTCAATCTTACAGATTTCTACTTATCTTATAACAGTACTAAATAGCTACATGCTATATATATTTTGCTTAAGTTCTTTTATTATCTTATGCTCAGTACTATGGTTATTATATCATACAATATATAAGCTAACAACTCTACGGAGTTTGTTATTATATATTAAGCTTAAGTTAATCATATCTTAAGCTCAGTACTATGGTTACATTATAAATGTATTAGCTAACAAACTCTACGGAGTTTTTGCTATTATATATGTAGCTTAAGTTTATTCATATCTTAAGCTCAGTACTATGTTTATATCATATAAGTATATTAGCCAACAAACTCTAAAGAGTTTTTTGCTATTATATATTTAGCTTAAGTTTCATCATATCTTAAACATTATGGTTACATTATAACATGTATTAGCTAACAAACTCTACGGAGCTTTTGCTATTATATATGTAGCTTAAGTTTATTCATATCTTAAGCTCAGTACTATGTTTATATCATATAAGTATATTAGCTAACAAACTCAAAGAGTTTTTGCTATTATATATTTAGCTTAAGTTTCATCATATCTTAAGCATTATGGTTACATTATAAAATGTAATAGCTAACAAACTCTAATGGAGTTTTGGGCTATTTAGGTAGCTTAAGTTAATTATATCTTAAGCACAGTACTATACTCATATCATAAAATATATTAGCTAACAAACTCTACTAAGTTTTGCTATTATATATATAGCTTAAGTTTTATTCATATCTTAAGCTTAGTACTATGTTTACTTCATAAAAGTATATTAGCTAATAAACTCTAAGGAGTTTTTGCTATTATATATTTAGCTTAAGTTTAATCATATCTTAAGCTCAGTACTATGTTTATATCATAAAAGTATTTAGCTAACAAACTCTAAGGAGTTTATGCTATCATATTAACAAGCTTAAGTCTATTAGTCTTAAGCATTGTATTAATGTTATATATACTTTTATCATAATAAGTACATTGTAATAACCTTTATATGGCAGCTGGTAAGTTAGCAGCAGGAATTCATCAGTTCAGTGCCTTTATGAAGTTCCCATAGGGTTATTACAATCATCACAGTTCAAATCACTAATTATTAAAATCCAAAGTATTATATATTCCCACCTCCTTTTCCGTCGGATTCTACAAGCAATAAGCATGAGTCAGGATAAGGAAAAATATGTAATTTTTAGAGTAAAATTGATATTTTATACTTATCCTGACTCATGAGGTAAGCCCTCCCATCCTCCCCACATAACACTTTGGATTTCCCTGTAAATTCAAGTGTTGGGCTCAGTATATGAGGAGAGAGTGAGGCACATGGGTTGAGGTGGCGCCCTCGTTCCCGCGCTTATGTAAGGGAGGTAACTCGTGGTGAGTGCTAATTAGTGATTTTGACATTGAAGGGAACTTCAATTGGGAGATACACATGTTCCACTATGTTCGCAAGAAGAAGAAGACAAGCAATAAGCATGATGAGTCAGGATAAGTATAAAATATCAATTTTACTCTAAAAATTACATTTTTTGAAACTGGAAAGTTTTTGGCTCTACAGTTTTGGGAAATAACCTTTTAAAATGTAAATTATTATCTACATTGATCAGCACCTTTTAATTCAGTTAAAACACATATATTTTTACCCTGAAAATATTAGAAGAAACCTTGGCTGTAGTTTGGGTGTTGTGGGTTGTAGATTTCCCTGCTGTGAACTGGGTGCTGCAGCTGGACTGTCCAGAGGATGCCAACACCTACATCCACCGAGCTGGGCGGACAGCCAGGTGGGTGGACGATGTGCAGGTGTAGGTGGATCATATACAGGTGTAGTGTAGGTGGACGATGTGCAGGTGTAGGTGGACGATGTGCAGGTGTAGGTGGATGATGTACAGGTGTAGTGTAGGTGGTCGATGTGCAGGTGTAGTGTAGGTGGTCGATGTGCAGGTGTAGTGTAAGTGGTCGATGTGCAGGTGTAGTGTATGTGGACGATGTGCAGGTGTAGTGTAAGTGGATGATGTACAGGTGTAGTGTGGGTGATCGATGTGCAGGTGTAGTGTAAGTGGATGATTGTGCAGGTGTAGTGTAGGTAGACGATGTGCAGGTGTAGGTGGATAATATACAGGTGTAGTGTAGGTGGTTGATGTGCAGCTGTAGTGTAGGTGAACGATGTGCAGGTGTAGTGTAGGGGGACAATGTGCAGGTGTAGTGTAGGAGGATGATGTGCAGGTGTAGGTGGACGATGTACAGGTGTAGTGTATTTTGGATGACATACAGGTGTAGTGTAAGTGGATGATGTACAGGTGTAATGTAGGTGGACGATGTGCAGGGGTTGTGTAGGTGGACAATGTACAGGTGTGGTGTAGGTGGATGATGTACAGATGCCAGTGATGTACAGATGTATCCAGTGTACAGGTGTAGTGTAGGTGGACGATGTGCAGGTGTAGTGTAGGTGGTCGATTTGCAGGTGTAGTGTAGGTGGACGATGTGCAGGTATAGTGCAGATGGATGATGTGCAGGTGTAGGTGGACGATGTACAGATGTAGTGTAGGTGGACAATGTGCAGGTGTAGTGTAGGTGGACGATGTGCAGGTGTAGTGTAGGTGGACGATGTACAGATGTAGTGTAGGTGGACGATGTACAGGTGTAGTGTAGGTGGATGATGTACAGATGCCAGTGATGTACAGATGTACCCAGTGTACAGGTGTAGTGTAAGTGTGGGCGATGTACAGGTGTACAGGTGTGGGCGTAGTAGGTGGGGTGTAGATGTACAGATGTACAGATGCCAGTAATGTACAGATGTACCCAGTGTACAGGTGTAGTGTAGGTGGACGATGTACAAGTGTAGTGTAGGTGGACAATGTACAGTTGTAGTGTAAGTGGATGATGTACAGGTGTAGTGTAGATGGACGATGTACAGGTGTAGTGTAGATGGACGATGTACAGGTGTAGTGTAGGTGGACGATGTACAGGTGTAGTGTAGGTGGATGATGTACAAGTGTAGTGTAGGTGGACGATGTACAGGTGTAGTGTGGGTGGACGATGTACAGGTGTAGTGTAAGTGGACGATGTACAGGTGTAGTGTAGGTGGATGATGTACAGATGCAGGTGGACAGTGTACAGGTCTAGTGCTAAGTACACGAGTGGTACATGTGTACATTCCCATGCATAATCCTTACGGTCAAAACTTATAACAGACATGGTTGTTTGGGACCAGTTCTAATGCAGAAATGCAGCCCAGGCATCAGGATAAGACCTGTACGTGTCTGAGATGTGTGAAGTTAAAATTGTTAAAATGAAATGGGATGATATGTTATCGATATTCCATCAGTTGAAGAGATCTAACCATCAACCATGTCAATCTTTCTAAACAGAGTATTTTGTGAGATGGTACAGTATATTGTGTGTCCTGATGATCGTGGTGAAATGGTACAGTATATTGTGTGTCCTGATGATCGTGGTGAAATGGTACAGTATATTGTGTGTCCTGATGATCGTGGTGAAATGGTACAGTATATTGTGTGTCCTGATGATTGTGGTGAAATGGTACAGTATGTTGTGTGTCCTGATGATTGTGGTGAAATGGTACAGTATGTTGTGTGTCCTGATGATCGTGGTAAAATGGTACAGTATATTGTGTGTCCTGATGATTGTGGTGAAATGGTACAGTATATTGTGTGTCCTGATGATCGTGGTAAAATGGTACAGTATATTGTGTGTCCTGATGATCGTGGTGAAATGGTACAGTATATTGTGTGTCCTGATGATTGTGGTGAAATGGTACAGTATATTGTGTGTCCTGATGATTGTGGTGAAATGGTACAGTATATTGTGTGTCCTGATGATTGTGGTGAAATGGTACAGTATATTGTGTGTCCTGATGATCGTGGTGAAATGGTACAGTATATTGTGTGTCCTGATGATGCATGGTAAAATGGTACAGTATATTGTGTGTCCTGATGATCGTGGTGAAATGGTACAGTATATTGTGTGTCCTGATGATCGTGGTGAAATGGTACAGTATATTGTGTGTCCTGATGATCGTGGTGAAATGGTACAGTATATTGTGTGTCCTGATGATAGTGGTGAAATAGTACAGTATATTGTGTGTCCTGATGATCGTGGTGAAATGGTACAGTATATTGTGTGTCCTGATGATCGTGGTGAAATGGTACAGTATATTGTGTGTCCTGATGATAGTGGTGAAATAGTACAGTATATTGTGTGTCCTGATGATGCAGTGGTGAAATGGTACAGTATATTGTGTGTCCTGATGATCGTGGTGAAATGGTACAGTATATTGTGTGTCCTGATGATCGTGGTGAAATGGTACAGTATATTGTGTGTCCTGATGATCGTGGTGAAATGGTACAGTATATTGTGTGTCCTGATGATCGTGGTGAAATGGTACAGTATATTGTGTGTCATGGTGACCGTCGTCTTGCTGCAGGTATGAGAGGGATGGTGAGGCGCTGCTAGTGTTGCTGCCGTCAGAAGAGGATGCTATGGTACAGCAGCTCCAGGACAAGAAGATACCCATCAACAAGATCAAGTGAGCTCACTGCACATGTGGACAGAGGATACATTTTCCAGGGAGCTTCTTCCACAATTTCATTAAAGTTCAAGTAATGAAAACATACACACTCTGGCGCAGTGATGACTTAACATAACATCACTATGACAGTACATATTTAGATATCATACTGGCTGCATCGTTTGCTCTCCGCCACCTTCGATTACTGCACATGGAGCCGTACAACCTATGTAAACAAAGGATCGCTACGCCAAATCGAAATAGTGTTACATGTTTTTGGATATTTTCACAGTGAAACTAAACCATTATATTAAAGGATGTTTAGTTAGATGTGTAGACTCGTCAAAAATAAAAGAATAAAAGAAATCTGTACTTTATATTGAATGGACATTGCAAGATGTGACGAATCGTCACATTTTTCTGGCCTGTGGCAGAGGTACTATGCTGGCTTGCCGCATAGAACTCTGGGTAGGAGAGTGGAAAACATAAGCACTGCTACTTCCTGGAGGTTTGCCTCTAGATAGATCCTCCACAAAGATATTGGTGTACAGGTGAACAGTTGTCTAGTACCAGCAGAGGGAAGTATTCATGCCATCTTGTTTACTCAGTGGACTGGAATTGACCTGTTATTTAATATATACCATTTAAAAAAAAGTTCGGGATATTCCATTTTGCGAGCATACCACTAGCCAATGCCAATGTATATGAGAAAAAGTAGTATATATCCATACAGATGAAACATTTTCCAAAGGAATGGAATAAATTGTCACGTTTTCCCTTAATTTCTCTTCATCATCCGTTTCCTCCTTGGCTTCATCAGTTGCATTTTATCAATCTTGTAAATCCAATATTCCCTACCTTTTTTAAATGGTATATTTCTGATAGTGCTTGTTTTAAAGTGAATGTTTGTGTAGAGCTAACAGCGTGTTTGTTGTAGGGTGAATGCCAAGAAGCTGAGCAGTGTGCAGCCCAAGCTGGAGTCCCTGTGTGCTGCTGAACCTGCCCTGAAGGAGATTGCTCAGAGGGTGAGGAGGCAACGATTCTATCTGTGCTGGAGCCTGGGGACTTTGTTGTATCTGCTGACTAACATAATCTACCATTCCTTTGACATCAGTAAATACAGTGGTAGTGACGTAGAGATAGTGTGTAGGCTGGTGATGGATGGCATACTTGTAGACCTGTCTGTGATACAGATGTTGCTGACAGGGGGATAGATGTATGCAACATTACTGTGCTGCTGGCTGGTGTATTACACATGACACACGATGTCACTGCTGTCACGGCTGCTCACAACAACTTGTACATTTACACTGGTTTGTGCTTGAAGAAGCCATTACAACAAGGGCCAAGCTTCAGATTGCAAGTAGTGCAGTTATGTATGATATGAATCCTTTCTGGAAAGTTACATTTGGAAAGTTTTATACATTGATTTGTGAAGGAGAGACTGGGTGTGATTATCATACATAATGCATGATGATTTCAGCAGGATTTTGTTGCAGGCATTTGTGGCGTACTTGCGTGGGGTATTCCTGATGAGCAACAAGGCTGTGTTTGATGTCAGGAAGTTGGACATTGACAAATTTGCCAGGTAAAAATCTAACTATGCATTGTAAAGTTATAATTCCTTCAAATACACTACTTCTATTACATATTAGCTATAACTTCCTGTTCAGGATGAGAATCACACTGTAAAAGTGTATAAATATCTAACAGATGTCCTCTTCACTTTCATCATATTCAGTAGTTGTGAGGAAAGCTCTATAACCTGCAGGAAATCTACAACTGTGCATGTTCAAGCTGGAAAACAACCACTTTTTCCCCATTGTGAATTGTTGTCACATTTCATTGCTGTTAAACTCTATTTCACTTTGTGTAAGAAGGGACATTATAGTAAGAAGGTAGTAAGTAAAACATATTTTGGGAGATAAATCCTGCATGTCCAAGGCCAACGGCTCTTGGTGAAGCAACTATGAACGATCAATACCCTGGTTGCCCATTGTGCAAAACGAAAACTTGTGGCAAATTCAAGATGCAACATATCAAGGAAGAATTTGACACGGTTTCTAACACAAAACATAAGAACTGACTTTTTCAGAAATACAAGGTCATCAGCTAAACAGCCTTGTTCTAATGCTAATATAATTAGGATGGAGGGCAAGGTGAGTCAGCCTGATGTAGGAACTACTGAAGAGAGACACTAGGGAGACGAATCAACGTTGTGAGTGACGATGCTCACTCTTATGGGGAGATCTCTGTCCCACCTGCCCATAAGAAGGAGACATACCTCTCTGGTTTGAAAGAGGCCATTGATGTGTATCCGAGAGCTACAAGACGTTATAGGAATTTATCATATTTATTGAAAATTAAAAAGTGTTTGGCAGACTTCCAGAGTGAGTCAGATCCATTCAAGAGAAGACATGTGCCGTCCAGTCTTGATTCTTTTTGTGCCCTTGGTTCTTTTTCGTCCCCAAGCCAGAATCTCCAACAATCAGCAGCCCTCAAAACGTGGCACAGGTTGAGGCAACCTCAGTTGCACGTGGTTTGTCCAAAGTTTAGCATATCTCAAAATCCTTTGGATCTTGCATGTCTAATGAGGAACATTGATTCAAGACTACCAGTATTGGACACAATGATAACTTTACATCCAGTAGGACGTTGTCTGTTGAAGTATTCAGAAAAATGGGAAGCAATCCCTGATTATTCTATAGGATTAGAATAGCTAGCTGCTGCAAATATGGCACACACAAGGTTCAGGAAATGGGTGCCAGCAGTGCATTAGAATTCCCTTGAATTCTACCCATTATTGTTTCTGTTTCCGAAGAAAATACAAATGAAATGTGCATAATCAATTTCAAAGAACCAAAAAGGATTATCTGATTCAGCCTCAAAATTCAAAATCGGGACAGTCAAGAACTTAGGAATGCATTCAGATAAGGTGATTGGATGATAAGCATAGACTAAGCTTGGTATTACAGAACTCCTCTCTTCATGTTCCTGTTCGTCCACATTACTGTCACTGTGAACACTTTTCAGTCAGTGCTCAGAGGTATCAACTCTATGGTTTTCCTTTTGGCATATCTATCACATATGGTCGTTCACCAGGACTACCCTCCCACACATTGGGTTTAGCTCTTCAAAAGCTAGTAAGAATACATGGCTCCATCAAAACTCCCTACTGGACCATCAGGACAAGTCAGAGAGCTACTTGAGTTTCATCTATATAGGTGCAAAATTCTAGATCAACAAAGGTTTTCTCCAGAGCACAAGACGTGATCTCCAGAGCTCTAGACCAGCCCATCAGGTCTAGTATTTGATGGATATCATGCCAAGAATCACATCCCTCCAGGATCTAACATTCTGAGGCAGGCTACAGATATGTTCCTTACTTACAAAGCTTGATAAACACTACCTCAGAGCCAGATGTACTAACTCTGCTGCTACAGGCTCAAAACTATTGCTCTGTATGATTCCAAGAATGTCGCCTCAGGAATTAGTCCCTCCCACCTCCTGAGTGTATTTGCATCTAGTTGATGAGACCTTTGGGATGTAAGAAGTGATGATATCCTGCCTCAAGCTGGGGCAGTTGTATTTCCTGTGGAGTTTTCCTCACAGCTTTTAGGTATGTTGCTAGGTATAAGGATGAACACTGCAAACAAAGATATGGTGTGATTGCCTGCCTAAACAGGAATTTATGACCTCATGTAAAAAGGTTGTATCCTTCAAATTTTACACAATGATAATTTCTTCCTGTTTGAAATACTTTAACATTTAGCAAAACTTCCAGTTTTGGCTAAACCGATTTACTCATTTTCCTGACAGTGATTTCCTTGAGTTTGTCTCTCCTGACTGCCATGAGTTCATTTTGCTGTTTGGAACTGTTTCCTGAATGAACAGATATTTTGGAATTCATTAAATGTGCTATACCTCACCATAGTGAGCACACATTCAGACGCTTCCGTGTCAGGCTGTACACACATCACCTACTCCTGATGTTGTGTTGATGGATTCTTATGGAGTAGTCCCTTAAAGCAAGCATTCTTATAAGTTAGTGATTTGTGAGAGTTACAACAAGTATTCTTTTGCTTCAGATCACTGGGCTTGGCTGTTGTGCCACGGGTGAGATTCTTGCAGCGGGATGAGAAGCGGCGCCAGGACCGACTTCAAGACCAGCGACAGGAAATGCAGGACACAAGCACCAAAGTGTTGGTGAGGGCAACACATGCTGCCACTGACACATCAGGAAGGAAGGGGAGTCCCGGGGACACATCATCCAGTGCTTCATCAGAGGACGAGGGCGATCTGCAGCAGATAATCCAAAGGAAGTTTAATGAGTCATCCTCCAGCTCACAAGGAAATAAACATGCTTTGAAATCTTTGATAAGTGAGAGGACTTCTGATTCATCTGAAAGTGAGGATCCTGAAACAGGCAAAGATGAAAGTGATGACAGTGATGTTGACTCGAATTCTGATGATGATTCAGTGGAAGGAAGTGATGACAGTAGTGCCGAGTCAGAGACCAACAGGACCAACATGAATTCTCTAGTCAGGCCTCAGAACACCGATCGTAGTGTTCCTTTCATATTTGACGTCCACGATGATGAGGACCTGTTTAAAGTGAAACGTACAATACACTTGGAGGAAGACGATAGTGAGGATGAGGTACCACCATATGTTTGGTTATACTTGGGCTTCAACAATATCCATAGATATGTTTCTTGATAAGAAAACTACAGTAACCTGGCATTTCTTGTCTCTTCAAACAGTTGAACAGAAGTCTGGTGATCAGATGTACTTGCATGTTGTATGTGTGTGATGGCTGTCAGGGGCAGGGCGATGTGTAGCATGTCTCCAGTAGTGATCAGATAAACTTGTAGACCTGTGATGGAAACTGTGAGGGTTGGGTGACATCTTATATCTCCCATCATCAGTAGTGATCAGATATACTTGTAGACCTGTAATGGAAACTGAGGGGTTGGGTGACATCTTATATCTTCCATCATCAGTAGTGATCAGATATACTTGTAGACCTGTGATGGAAACTGAGGGTTTGGGTGACATCTTATATCTCCCATCATCAGTAGTGATCAGATAAACTTGTAGACCTGTGATGGAAACTGAGGGTTTGGGTGACATCTTATATCTCCCATCATCAGTAGTGATCAGATATACTTGTAGACCTGTGATGGAAACTAAGGGGTTGGGTGACATCTTATATCTCCCATCATCAGTAGTGATCAGATATACTTGTAGACTTGTGATGGAAACTGAGGGGTTGGGTGACATCTTATATCTTCCATCATCAGTAGTGATCAGATATACTTGTAGACCTGTGATGGAAACTGAGGGTTTGGGTGACATCTTATATCTCCCATCATCAGTAGTGATCAGATATACTTGTAGACCTGTGATGGAAACTGAGGGTTTGGGTGACATCTTATATCTCCCATCATCAGTAGTGATCAGATAAACTTGTAGACCTGTGATGGAAACTGAGGGTTGGGTGACATCTTATATCTCCCATCATCAGTAGTGATCAGATATACTTGTAGACCTGTGATGGAAACTGAGGGTTTGGGTGACATCTTATATCTCCCATCATCAGTAGTGATCAGATAAACTTGTAGACCTGTGATGGAAACTGAGGGTTTGGGTGACATCTTATATCTCCCATCATCAGTAGTGATCAGATATACTTGTAGACCTGTGATGGAAACTGAGGGGTTGGGTGACATCTTATATCTCCCATCATCAGTAGTGATCAGATAAACTTGTAGACCTGTGATGGAAACTGAGGGTTGGGTGACATCTTATATCTCCCATCATCAGTAGTGATCAGATAAACTTGTAGACCTGTGATGGAAGCTGAGGGGTTGGGTGACATCTTATATCTCCCATCATCAGTAGTGATCAGATAAACTTGTAGACCTGTGATGGAAACTGAGGGTTTGGGTGACATCTTATATCTCCCATCATCAGTAGTGATCAGATAAACTTGTAGACCTGTGATGGAAACTGAGGGTTTGGGTGACATCTTATATCTCCCATCATCAGTAGTGATCAGATATACTTGTAGACCTGTGATGGAAACTGAGGGTTTGGGTGACATCTTATATCTCCCATCATCAGTAGTGATCAGATAAACTTGTAGACCTGTGATGGAAACTGAGGGTTTGGGTGACATCTTATATCTCCCATCATCAGTAGTGATCAGATATACTTGTAGACCTGTGATGGAAACTGAGGGTTTGGGTGACATCTTATATCTCCCATCATCAGTAGTGATCAGATATACTTGTAGACCTGTGATGGAAACTGAGGGTTTGGGTGACATCTTATATCTTCCATCATCAGTAGTGATCAGATATACTTGTAGACCTGTGATGGAAACTGAGGGTTTGGGTGACATCTTATATCTCCCATCATCAGTAGTGATCAGATAAACTTGTAGACCTGTGATGGAAACTGAGGGTTTGGGTGACATCTTATATCTCCCATCATCAGTAGTGATCAGATAAACTTGTAGACCTGTGATGGAAACTGAGGGTTTGGGTGACATCTTATATCTCCCATCATCAGTAGTGATCAGATAAACTTGTAGACCTGTGATGGAAACTGAGGGCTTAGGTGACATCTTATATCTCCCATCATCAGTAGTGATCAGATAAACTTGTAGACCTGTGATGGAAACTGAGGGTTTGGGTGACATCTTATATCTCCCATCATCAGTAGTGATCAGATATACTTGTAGACCTGTGATGGAAACTGAGGGTTTGGGTGACATCTTATATCTCCCATCATCAGTAGTGATCAGATATACTTGTAGACCTGTGATGGAAACTGAGGGTTTGGGTGACATCTTATATCTCCCATCATCAGTAGTGATCAGATATACTTGTAGACCTGTGATGGAAACTGAGGGTTTGGGTGACATCTTATATCTCCCATCATCAGTAGTGATCAGATATACTTGTAGACCTGTGATGGAAACTGAGGGTTTGGGTGACATCTTATATCTCCCATCATCAGTAGTGATCAGATATACTTGTAGACCTGTGATGGAAACTGAGGGTTTGGGTGACATCTTATATCTCCCATCATCAGTAGTGATCAGATAAACTTGTAGACCTGTGATGGAAACTGAGGGTTTGGGTGACATCTTATATCTCCCATCATCAGTAGTGATCAGATAAACTTGTAGACCTGTGATGGAAACTGAGGCTTAGGTGACATCTTATATCTCCCATCATCAGTAGTGATCAGATAAACTTGTAGACCTGTGATGGAAACTGAGGGTTTGGGTGACATCTTATATCTCCCATCATCAGTAGTGATCAGATATACTTGTAGACCTGTGATGGAAACTGAGGGTTTGGGTGACATCTTATATCTCCCATCATCAGTAGTGATCAGATAAACTTGTAGACTTGTGATGGAAACTGTGAGGGTTGGGTGACATCTTATATCTCCCATCATCAGTAGTGATCAATTACTAGTGCTAAGTTTTCATGTTCTGTCTGTTATCAGATGGAGAAGAGGAAGAAAGAAAGTATTGTCAAGAAGAAGCCGACAACAAAAGCAACAACTGTGAAGAAACTGCTTAAGAAAAACATCCAGCTTAATACCAAGATCAAGTTTGATGACACAGGGGAGGTAATCTAACTATATTTCCTTATCCTGACTCATGCCAAATGCTTGTCTCCTTCTTGCGAATGATAGTGGAACACTTGAAATCCCTTGAAGTTCCCTTCTAAAAGGGGATGTAAAATCATCACTCACCCACGAGTAGTCTCCATTGCCTCCTTTGGCGCCCTTTTGTGTCACATGACCAGCCATGTTTGTCACTCTCTCCTTCTTCGCCCTTGAGGATGGTTGTGAGAGCACCTGGGTCCTTATACGCCACATACCCTTTTCTCTTTTGGACCTTTAGATCAAAATTATTGCTGTATATGGTTTTTAGGATTGTATACTACTATTTGGTTCGAAATTTGATCTAAATTATTCGTTGTTTGACATGTTTTTCATCGTGTTTACATTTGATGAAAACTTGTATTCGTTGTAGGTACCGGCTGTCTGCGGCTGACCCACATTTATTATGTCCTGATTGCACTACTTCATGTTCTTTCAGCTCTCGCTGTAAACATTGTCTGAATTTAACCACTTTTGAATTTAATAACTACCTTTTTCCATTCATAGACATGCATAGGACTGGGTAAGAAGGTATTCACAAGTCATGTCTAAATCGAGTGATTACGCAGATAACTGTGTGTTTAATTACTGCTGCCGATGTTCATAATTCCAGTGAATTGCCAAGCGTTTTATGGGGGCAGGTTGCTGTTCCAGTGATGTACTCTGGAGCCAATAAGAGATCGTCGTCAACGGAGCTGACCTCTTCGCAGACGAAGAAGACTAGATCATCTTCAACACAGAAGAAGAAGGCTACTACCCCTAAGACTTCGTCGAAGTCTCTACACAGCTCTACGCAGAAGACGAGATTCTTCTCTGCCGAGATTGTACCTCCGGAAGAAGCAGACGTGTATGATGATTCCCCCCCATCTCATACCTGAAGTCACAGTCGTCAGCAAGAAGACGAAGCCTGCTTCTACAGCTACATCGGCAACTTTATCAGCGCAGACATTGACAGAAGACCTTCTATCAACGCAGACATCGGGTACCAGAGATAGCAGCAGCGTCAACTCTTCACAAGTGCAGCGTGCCTTGGAAGACACCTCATCGTTGTCAGAAGCATCATCATCCCTGCAGCAATCTCTTCAGACATCGCAGAACTTCAACCCAGGACTGTTCATGCAACAGTTTACAGACCCGATGATGTTGATGATGGAACGTCGCTTCGCGCAGGAGAAAGCTGCTATGAAGACCACTACGATGACTACTAGCCAAGATTCAGCAGTCTCTCCAACACACTTGGAAGAAGAGGGCAGCCTTCGTAAAGGCTCACGCACCCGACGATCTTCCCCATCTGAAGTTAGGAGCCTGGACAACGCTACTAACGTCAGCTCAGCCTTAGACGTCTCTGAAGGAGCCGCTAAAAATTCTCCACGCAGAAGCAGATCGCAGCGTTCTCCTGAGCCCTACAGACGTCGTAGATACGGGTCGTCATCACCATCGGACTCAGACGCACGGACTCGGGATCGCTCACCTGCGCACAGTTCGTCATACAGATCTTCACGTTGTCGTGGATCGTCAGATCGGGAGATGTCTAAATCAGATGAAGAAGGTGAAGTCATATTCTCCGATGCGGAAGTAACCTCATGGATTGCTAATGGCCTGGACCTAGCATCACCTTCCAAGGACACAGACGAAGTGTTTACATACAAGATGTCCAACGATGATTTCGACACACTCACCTTTCCACCTATCGACCCGATCCCCAAGTACCGGGACCATCTCATCTCAACCTTTGATAAGGCTACCAAGTTCCAGAACCAGCATATCCCGACATCCAACGCCAGGAGATTCCCCTTACATCACATGGAACCCTTCCTGAAGGCACCAGAGATTGATGAGGACTACAAGATCATCAACGACTCCCGCTATAGAACTTACAAGATAGAGGACAAGAGGCTAGCGCAACTGGATACGACTACTAGACGTACCTTCTTCGGACTAGCCAGGTCTAGGGCTATCAACGAAGCACTCATCTCGAAGTTCAAGAACTCTACCGCCGAAGACGACCAGATGATATATTCTGCTCTACTGACTCAGAAAAAGGACCACCAGTTTATATCAGAGCATCTAGCATCCACATCAGCGGGCCTGACTCTCCTGAGGAGGCAAGGATTATTGTCATCGTGCACCTGGAGTGAGCGGTTCACCAAGTCCTTATGCAGAGTCCCATGGTCAGCATCATCCATCTTCGGAGGAGGAATTGAAGAAGTCGCCAAAGAGGTTACACACGAATCAAGGGAAGTCATGATGATAAAGTCCATAGATACCTTGGCAAATGTGGTTTCGCCAGACGTCCCAACGCTACTCCAACAAATCCAAGTTTGCAGGAGTCCAGAGAGCCAGAGAAAAGAAGTATTCCAACTCAAGAGGAGGAAGAGGTTCTTTTCGTCGCCCAACCGGAGCCCCCAGAAGCAACCCCGGAAGATACAGTTGGATGCCACCCCGCCGCTTACAAGCAACCCGCTGCCCTTCAACTACGCAGCCGACCAGACATAGAAACTGGACGACGCAATCAAGACTCTACTCGACAAAGATGCAGTAGAAGAGATAAATCAAGATCTCATCACGCCCAGTTTTTATTCCCCAAATTTTCTAGTAGTGAAGAAGAATCTAAGGAGAAGTTTCAGCTCATCTACAACATGAGGAAGTTCAACCAGGATTATCTCCGCAGACTAGCAAAATTCAAGATGATACATCCATCAGACTACCTCGCCGGCATAGATCTACAAGATGCGTACCTACAAATCTCAATACATCCAGATTCAAGAAAATACCTAAGATTCCTTTTCAATGGACATCACTTCCAGTGGAAGGTTCTACCGTTTGGAATATCGTCGGTTGTTTACTCGAGTGACCAAGCCCATCATCACATATCTACATCGTCGAGGTCTACGCAGTGCTTTTTACCTGGATGACGGAATTCAAGTTCATCAAGATCCCAGTCAACTCAGACTGCAACTAGACTTCACCATCAGGCTTCTCACTCAGTTAGGATGGCTGGTAAATCTCCTCAAGTCGGAACTGGAGCCGAAACAGGATCTTCAATTTCTAGGAATACCACCCACGCCGGTGAATCGCATAGTCGTCCCAGAGGATTGTTGGGTCAAGATACAACATATGATTTCTCAAGCAATGCTCTCGCCGTTGACACTACGTACTTGGCAAAACATGCTCGGTCTACTCACCTCAGCTCAAGACATGACTCACAGAGGGAGATTACAGCTGCGCCCACTACAAATATTTGTAAACGCCCATCTCGACAATCTGGATCCACTGATACTACCTGACAGACTGAAACCATACCTCCTATGGTGGACTTAGAAGTCGAATGTTTGTGGAGGAACTTTTTTTTGTCAGAGCCGGTTTGCAACACTCATCTCTACGTGGATGCCTCCCTACAAGGATTGGGTGCCCACCTCGACAACGAAGTGGCAGCAGAGAAGTGGTCGAGTCAGAGTCTGCACATCAACCTATTGGAGATGAAAGCAGTGATCAACGCTTCACAACACTGGTCCAGTGTACTAAAGAACGCAAGACTCACGGTCCACACGGACAACTTCACAGTAGCGTTCTACATCAACAAACAAGGATCAACAAGTCTGCTACAACTCAGCTTTCTCCTGTTCAGCATCGTCGTCGACCTGAACATCTACATGAAGGCATGCCACATTCCAGGAGCAAAGAATGTCATAGCAGACGCCCTATCTCGTCCACTACAACCATCCCCGACGGAAAGGATGTTACACCCAGAAGTGTTCCCCGGTTCGTCATACAGACAATAGGATCTCCACTGATAGACCTGTTTGCAACAAAGTTCAACAAGCAACTACCAACATTCGTCTCACCGATTCCGGATCCTCAGGCATGGGCAACAGACGCTTTAAGCATCTCATGGGAAGGACTAAACTAATTACCACAAGTAATACAGAAAATCAAGCAGACGACAACGTTGCAACTGATTTTGGTCGCGCCCTATTGGCCAGCGAGGGTATGGTTTCCCGTCTTCATACAAGAACTCGGAAGTCCAACCCTGAAACTACCAGGGTGGTCGAACCTGCTCGTCCATCCACACACCAAGCAAGCTCACGGGAATCCAGCATTGTTCCAGCTACACGCGTGGAGCGTATCAAAGCTTGCCTGAAGACTAGAGGGTACTCCGCCAGAGCAGCGAAAGCAGTGACACTAGCTCAACGCAGATCAACTCGCAACTTGTATGACGCCAAGTGGCAGAGATTTGAACAGTATGCAACAAGGAAAGGCTTTACAGCAGTAAAAGCAACCCATCCTCAAGTGTCATTTGCGACAGACGAGACACTTAAAAGGTTCAACACTCTCAACGTACCTGGCTGCTCTCAGCACAGTTATCACCATGAAGACGGGTGTCAAGCTGACCAAAGTACCAGAGATACTGGCACTACTACGCTCGTTCAAGTTAGAAGACCAACAAAAGAAATTCAAGGCTCCTGCCTGGGATCTCAACATAGTTCTACAACATCTCACCAGTGACGCCTACGAGCCTCTAGAATGGACATCCTTTGAACTACTGACACAGAAAACGCTGTTCCTGATCGCCCTAGCAACAGCAGCAAGGATGTCAGAAATACATGCTCTGGACTTTATCGAACACGATTTGAATCAAGACATCTTGACATCGTACATCTAGGACTGAGATGGGTTTTTATTGCCAAGAACCAACTGCCCGGCCAGCCTGCTAGACAGTTCCACATCCCAGCACTCTCTACAGTCCTTGGGCCACAGGATACACAGGATTTATCCTTATGCCCTGTCAGAGCACTAAAAGTCTACCTACAAAGGACAAAAACAAGGAGACGAAAATTCAAGCGCCTATTCATCCCCTTATCCACTTAGACGCCCACGTAAGTCTCACGGACAACGATTTTGATATGGATGAGAGCCGTCATACTAAGGGCCTACAAAGCAGCAGGACTTGAGCCTCCATGAGGCCTCCAATCCCCACAAAGTCAGAGCCTTGGCATCTACACTTGCTCTGCATGGAAACTGCTCGATTACAACAATAATGGAGGACTGCTTTTGGAAATCGGACAACAGTGTTTGCCAACCACTACTTCAGAGACATTGCCACCGAAGACGTCTCAGGCATTCACCAGTTTGGGCCACTTGTTGTAGCACAACAACTAACGGTTCCACAAAGGCGCTGAGAAAAATCTCACCCTTTTATCACGTGACTTGTGAAAACCAACGCTCTGGAGAGCAAATGGTTAAAGTCCATGCACACGTCTAGGACAGGCTAGCATGAGTGATAGACCCTGTACTTGTCTAGGACATACTCGTACATGAAGAAGGGTCGCATCTCCACTTGATGCGCGCATCAAGAGATGGAGTTGCAATAGATAACTTATTGAACTTTAGTACAGTCGTGCCCCGTTTATCCGAACCTCAGATATCTGGAAAACTCGACTTCCGAACGAAAATTCCTCAAAACGAATTCACAATGTTGTAAAACTACTCACTTATCCGGAAATCCGGTTTCCGTAACTGGATGGTCATTTTCACATACAAAACGCTAAATTATATGCATTTTTTTTCTTGTATATCCGGATGGCTGAGCACGTGTCAGTATGTTTACACACGCATTTTACCGACATAAAAGAGCGGTCTTTGAGCGTGAGAGGATTAACTACCTGTAATTAGCAAGGTGACACTGAGTTAATTTTGAGTTGTGATTGGTAAGGCTAGACGTCCCCGTTGTTTTTGTAGTGACTTTAATCCGGAAGTGTATGTTAGGTACAGGAACAATGCCAACACGTGGATGACATCAGAACTGTTTCGTGATTGGTTGCCAGCATGTGACAGACAGATGCATGTGCAGGTATGTTCACACGTGTTATTGACTTTACTACTTTATTTGACAAGATGATATTTATGTATGCACTGTTATTTATTGATGTCTTATCAATAAAGGTTTTGTCAGAGGTCTATTATGTTCGTTTCTTTGTATGTGTTTTTACATATGGTCCGTGGTTCAGATATCTGGAAAATCGTTTATCCGGACATTTTCAAGAAAAACACAAAAAACGACTGTATATCTAAAAATCCACACAAAATTGTCAGAAGTTTCGGAAGAAGTCTGACAAGTTCTGGTTTCCCCCCCCCGCGCCCCGACTCATCAGAGGGAAGCTGGAAGAACAGAATCATCAGCAGTGCCGTCATAAGTTCCCATCGGGGTAATACAGGACGTAAATCAACAACCAGTGAATCCAGGAAGTGGCCTGACCCACCACCAATTCCGACGGATTCTGCAAGCATTTAGCATGAGTCAGGATAAGGAAAAATATGTAATTTTCTGACTAAAATTGATATTTTATACTTATCCTGGCTCATGAGGTCAGCCTTCCCAACCTCCCCTCTCAGGGCACTCTGGATTTCCCTGTAAATCCGGGTGTCGGGCATACATATGGAGAGAGTGACAAACATGGCTGGTCATGTGACACAAAAGGGCGCCAAAAGAGGCAAGGGAGACTACTCGTGGGTGAGTGATGATTTTACATCCGCTTTTTAGAAGGGAACTTCAAGGGATTTCAAGTGTTCCACTATCAAGAAGGAGACAAGCATTTGGCATGAGTCAGGATAAGTATAAAATATCAATTTTAGTCAGAAAATTACATTTATTTTCGAATGACATTGTTTTGACTACAGAATATCATGATTTAATTAAGTTACATGTTGAGACACAAAGACTTTGTCGTGAGATCATAAGTTTAGAGCATGCAAGGCATGTGACATTTACCCTCAGAAGTCAGTTATGATCTGAAAAGTGACAGTCACATCAGGAATGATGCATGGTACTGTGAGTGTGGTTTACGGACTATTCCACAGTGAAACAATGGCTGGTTTATTAGATCATTATAGCTACAATCACAGTATTCACGGCCTGTTCCAACTTCATGGGTAATGCATTTACTGAAATTAATCTGTCTGTCTTCTAAATGCTCATGGACTCTTTTTGTTACAGGAAGTTTCTGACATCTACAAAAAGCCTCAGGTGAAAAAGACATTTGAAGATGATGATGACTTGGGGGGAATAAACATTGCTGCAGCTAGACAGAGGTTACAGGAAGAGGACAAGTTTGATAAACAGTTACACCGTGAGAAGGTCAAACTGATGCACAGAGTAAGTAGATCAATAGTTACATCGTAGTTAAGGGAGAAAGCACAGGGTGAGTTAATAAACAGTTACTCTGAGACAAAGTTAAAGGACTAGTTCCCCATTGAATTAATGTAATGAAAATCCTCCCAAAGTAAGACGACCACCTTTGTTGCAATGTCTTGCACCAGTTCTGTGTACTGCTTCCATACTGTTTCACTGATGACATCTCTCAATGACAGGAGGAAAGATTCAAGAAGAAAGATGAGAGACGAAAGAAGAAACAGGCGGCAGAGGAGCTCAGTGTAAGTAGATGCTGCAACTTATGAGATCAGCTGCATGTACCGACAGTGTAAATAGATCAGCTGAATGTACTGACAGTGTAAATAGATCAGCTGTATGTACTGACAGTGTAAATAGCTCAGCTGAATGTACTGACAGTGGAAATAGATCAGCTGAATGTACTGACAGTGGAAATAGATCAGCTGAATGTACTGACAGTGTGACCACCTCCGTGGTGTAGTGGTTAGAGCGTCCGCCCGGAGAGCGGAAGGTCACAGGTTTGATCTCCGACCACGTCATACCAAAAGACGTAAAAATATGGTACTTGTTGGTCCCTGCCTGGCGCTCGGCATTAATGGGTACAACAAGGACTGGTCGGCTCGCAGTCAGTATAATGTGTCTGAGTGGGGTATTCATGCTTCACTGCGGCATGGTATCTCTGTGGGCTAGCACTATAAAACCAGCTTAAGTCTGGGCTAGTACAAGCAGCCGCACATTCACATACACACGCATGCACATCGTCATATGAGCGAAATATTCTCAAGCACGACGTTAAACCCAATTTCACCTCACCTCACCTCACTGACAGTGTAAATAGATCAGCTGAATGTACTGACAGTGTAAATAGATCAGCTGAATGTACTGACAGTGTAAATAGATCAGCTGAATGTACTGACAGTGTAAATAGATCAGCTGCATGTACTGACAGTGTAATTATCTCAGCTGTATGTACTGACAGTGTAAATAGCTCAGCTGCATGTACTGACAGTGTAAATAGATCAGCTGAATGTACTGACAGTATAAATAGGTTAGCTGAATGTACTGACAGTGTAAATAGCTCAGCTGAATATACTGACAGTGTAAATAGCTCAGCTGCATGTACTGACAGTGTAAATAGATCAGCTGCATGTACCGACAGTGTAAATAGATCAGCTGAATGTACTGACAGTGTAAATAGATCAGCTGTATGTACTGACAGTGGAAATAGATCAGCTGAATGTACTGACAGTGGAAATAGATCAGCTGAATGTACTGACAGTGTGACCACCTCCGTGGTGTAGTGGTTAGAGCGTCCGCCCGGAGAGCGGAAGGTCACAGGTTTGATCCCCGACCACGTCATACCAAAAGACGTAAAAATATGGTACTTGTTGGTCCCTGCCTGGCGCTCGGCATTAATGGGTACAACAAGGACTGGTCGGCTCGCAGTCAGTATAATGTGTCTGAGTGGGGTATTCATGCTTCACTGCGGCATGGTATCTCAGTGGGCTAGCACTATAAAACCAGCTTAAGTCTGGGCTAGTACAAGCAGCCGCACATACACATACACACGCATGCACATCGTCATATGAGCGAAATATTCTCAAGCACGACGTTAAACCCAATTTCACCTCACCTCACCTCACTGACAGTGTAAATAGATCAGCTGAATGTACTGACTGTGTAAATAGATCAGCTGAATGTACTGACAGTGTAAATAGATCAGCTGCATGTACTGACAGTGTAATTATCTCAGCTGTATGTACTGACAGTGTAAATAGCTCAGCTGCATGTACTGACAGTGTAAATAGATCAGCTGAATGTACTGACAGTATAAATAGGTTAGCTGAATGTACTGACAGTGTAAATAGCTCAGCTGAATGTACTGACAGTGTAAATAGCTCAGCTGCATGTACTGACAGTGTAAATAGATCAGCTGAATGTACTGACAGTATAAATAGGTTAGCTGAATGTACTGACAGTGTAAATAGATCAACTGTATGTACTGACAGTGTAAATAGCTCAGCTGCATGTACTGACAGTGTAAATAGATCAGCTGAATGTACTGACAGTATAAATAGGTTAGCTGAATGTACTGACAGTGTAAATAGCTCAGCTGAATGTACTGACAGTGTCAATAGCTCAGCTGTGTTTACTGACAGCGTAAATAGATCAGCTGTATGTACTGACAGTGGCAATAGCTAAGGTGCATGTATGGACAGTGTAAATAGATCAGCTATATGTACTGACCGTGGCAGTAGCTCAGCTGCATGTACTGATAGTGTCAATAGCTCAGCTGTGTGTACTGACAGTGTAAATAGATTAGCTGTATGTACTGACAGTGTCAATAGCTCAGCTGCATGTACTGACAGTGTAAATAGATCACCTGTGTTTACTGACAGTGTAAATAGATCAGCTGTGTTTACTGACAGTGTAAATAGCTCAGCTGTATGTACAGACAGTGTAAATAGATCAGCTGTATGTACTGACAGTGTAAATAGCTCAGCTGCATGTACTGACAGTGTAAATAGATCAGCTTACTGTACTGACAGTATAAATAGGTTAGCTGAATGTACTGACAGTGTAAATAGCTCAGCTGAATGTACTGACTGTGTCAATAGCTCAGCTGTGTTTACTGACAGTGTAAATAGATCAGCTGTATGTACTGACCGTGGCAGTAGCTCAGCTGCATGTACTGATAGTGTCAATAGCTCAGCTGTGTGTACTGACAGTGTAAATAGATCAGCTGTATGTACTGACAGTGTCAATAGCTCAGCTGCATGTACTGACAGTGTAGATAGATCAGCTGTGTTTACTGACAGTGTAAATAGATCAGCTGTATGTACAGACAGTGTCAATAGATCAGCTGAATGTACTGACAGTGTCAGTAGCTCAGCTTTGTTTACTGACAGTGTAAATAGATCAGCTGCATGTACTGACAGTGTCAATAGCTCAGCTGTGTGTACTGACAGTGTAAATAGATCAGCTGCATGTACTGACAGTGTCAATAGCTCAGCTGTGTGTACTGACAGTGTAAATAGATCAGCTGCATGTACTGACAGTGTCAATAGCTCAGCTGTGTCTACTGAGAGTGTAAATAGATCAGCTGTGTTTACTGACAGTGTAAATAGATCAGCTGTATGTACTGACAGTGTAAATAGATCAGCTGTATGTACTGACAGTGTAAATAGATCAGCTGTATGTACAGACAGTGTCAATAAATCAGCTGCATGTACTGATAGTGTCAATAGATCAGCTGCATGTACTGATAGTGTCAATAGATCAGCTGCATGTACTGACAGTGTCAATAGATCAGCTGTGTTTACTGACAGTGTAAATAGCTCAGCTGTATGTACTGACAGTGTCAATAGATAAGCTGTGTTTACTGACAGTGTAAATAGATCAGCTGTATGTACTGACAGTATGAATAGGTTAGCTGAATGTACTGATAGTGTCAATAGATCAGCTGTATGTACTGACAGTGTCAATAGATCAGCTGTGTTTACTGACAGTGTAAATAGATCAGCTGTATGTACTGACAGTGTAAATAGATCAGCTGTATGTACAGGCAGTGTCAATAGCTCAGCTGCATGTACCGACAGTGTAAATCGATCAGCTGTGTTTACTGACAGTGTAAATAGATCAGCTGAATGTACTGACAGTGTAAATAGACCAGCTGTATGTACAGACAGTGTAAATAGACCAGCTGTATGTACAGACAGTGTAAATAGATCAGCTGCATGTACTGATAGTGTCAATAGATCAGCTGCATGTACTGACAGTGTAAATAGCTCAGCTGTATGTACTGACAGTGTCAATAGATAAGCTGTGTTTACTGACAGTGTAAATAGATCAGCTGTATGTACTGACAGTATGAATAGGTTAGCTGCATGTACTGACAGTGTCAATAGCTCAGCTGTGTGTACTGAGAGTGTAAATAGATCAGCTGTGTTTACTGACAGTGTAAATAGATCAGCTGTATGTACTGACAGTGTAAATAGATCAGCTGTATGTACTGACAGTGTAAATAGATCAGCTGTATGTACAGACAGTGTCAATAAATCAGCTGCATGTACTGATAGTGTCAATAGATCAGCTGCATGTACTGATAGTGTCAATAGATCAGCTGCATGTACTGACAGTGTCAATAGATCAGCTGTGTTTACTGACAGTGTCAATAGATAAGCTGTGTTTACTGACAGTATAAATAGATCAGCTGTATGTACTGACAGTATAAATAGATCAGCTTATGCTGAATGTAATAGGTTAGCTGTGTACATAGTGTCAATAGATCAGCTGTATGTACTGACAGTGTCAATAGATCAGCTGTGTTTACTGACAGTGTAAATAGATCAGCTGTATGTACTGACAGTGTAAATAGATCAGCTGTATGTACAGGCAGTGTCAATAGCTCAGCTGCATGTACCGACAGTGTAAATCGATCAGCTGTGTTTACTGACAGTGTAAATAGATCAGCTGAATGTACTGACAGTGTAAATAGATAAGCTGAATGTACAGACAGTGTAAATAGACCAGCTGTATGTACAGACAGTGTAAATAGATCAGCTGCATGTACTGATAGTGTCAATAGCTGACAGTAAATAGAACAGCTGTAAGTGGGCTGCATGTCACAATACATGTATGGGAGTACGGTTTTCCCTTCTTGAAACACCTTGTCTTTGTCAGTGCTTCATTGAGACTTGGTTTTTGCAGGATGCTGATGCAGTCTTGGACACGGAAGCAGGTGAATCTGCCATTGACTTCATCCCTGATCCAGACAAGATTTATGGCCCTGGAGGCTTTGATGATGATGGTGATGATGATGATGATGATGATGATGATGACAGGTCTGTACCTTCTTTTGTGAGAAATATAAGTATTCATCTGAGTCTTTTAAACCCTGTTGCATTATAAGAGACCCACATAACCCATATATGCAAACAAACTTTTGTACTTTCAGGATTTCTGCATACTTGTAGACCCGGTTTGAGAGGCGAGTCTCAACCTGGGATGAAAAGTGTATGCTATATAAGTAGTGAGTGCAGCAGACTATAAGGCAGAGTGCCTTGTTGCTAGCATCACACACACGCTCTGCTGAAACTGCAGTGTCCACCCATTAGTCATACGTTCCTCTAGTCAACTGGGTTAAAACAACATATGGTATGGTTGACTGCATCAACAACTACCTTTGTAATACCTTTGTAAAAATGAAGTGGAATGATCCAAGAAACAAAAATACAGCTTCACATCAGTGAACTTTAATAGTCTGTCTTCAGCATAGTATACATGCATAATCTGATCTTGAGCATAGTATTCATACATAATCTGATCTTGAGCATAGTATTCATACATAATCTGATCTTGAGCATAGTATTCATACATAATCTGATCTTGAGCATAGTATTCATACATAATCTGATCTTGAGCATAGTATACATACATAATCTGATCTTGAGCATAGTATACATACATAATCTGATCTTGAGCATAGTATACATACATAATCTAATCTTGAGCATAGTATTCATACATAATCTGATCTTGAGCATAGTACACATACATAATCTGATCTTGAGCATAGTATTCATACATAATCTGATCTTGAGCATAGTATTCATACATAATCTGATCTTGAACATAGTATTCATACATAATCTGATCTTGAACATAGTATTCATACATAATCTGATCTTGAGCATAGTACACATACATAATCTGATCTTGAGCATAGTATTCATGCATAATCTGATCTTGAACATAGTACACATACATAATCTGATCTTGAACATAGCATTCACACATAATCTGATCTTGAGCATAGTATTCATACATAATCTGATCTTGAACATAGTACTCATACATAATCTGATCTTGAGCATAGTATTCATACATAATCTGATCTTGAACATAGTATACATACATAATCTGATCTTGAACATAGTATTCATACATAATCTGATCTTGAGCATAGTATTCATACATAATAATCTGATCTTGAACATAGTATTCATACATAATCTGATCTTGAACATAGTATTCATACATAATCTGATCTTGAACATAGTATTCATACATAATCTGATCTTGAACATAGTATTCATACATATATCTGATCTTGAACATAGTATACATACATAATCTGATCTTGAACATAGTATTCATACATAATCTGATCTTGAGCATAGTATTCATACATAATCTGATCTTGATAGTATTCATACATAATCTGATCTTGAGCATAGTATTCATACATAATCTGATCTTGAGCATAGTATTCATACATAATCTGATCTTGAGCATAGTATACATACATAATCTGATCTTGAGCATAGTATAATAATCTGATCTTGAGCATAGTATACATACATAATCTGATCTTGAGCATAGTATACATACATAATCTGATCTTGAGCATAGTATTCATACATAATCTGATCTTGAGCATAGTATTCATACATAATCTGATCTTGAGCATAGTATTCATACATAATCTGATCTTGAGCATAGTATTCATACATAATCTGATCTTGAACATAGTATTCATACATAATCTGATCTTGAACATAGTATTCATACATAATCTGATCTTGAACATAGTATTCATACATAATCTGATCTTGAACATAGTATACATACATAATTGATCTTGAGCATAGTATTCATACATAATCTGATCTTGAGCATAGTGCACATACATAATCTGATCTTGAGCATGGTATACATACATAATCTAATCTTGAGCATAGTATTCATACATAATCTGATCTTGAACATAGTATTCATACATAATCTGATCTTGAACATAGTATACATACATAATCTGATCTTGAACATAGTATTCATACATAATCTGATCTTGAGCATAGTATTCATACATAATCTGATCTTGAGCATAGTATTCATACATAATCTGATCTTGAGCATAGTATTCATACATAATCTGATCTTGAGCATAGTACACATACATAATCTGATCTTGAGCATAGTATACATACATAATCTGATCTTGAGCATAGTATACATACATAATCTGATCTTGAGCATAGTATACATACATAATCTGATCTTGAGCATAGTATACATACATAATCTGATCTTGAGCATAGTATTCATACATAATCTGATCTTGAGCATAGTATACATACATAATCTGATCTTGAGCATAGTATTCATACATAATCTGATCTTGAGCATAGTATTCATACATAATCTGATCTTGAACATAGTATTCATACATAATCTGATCTTGAACATAGTATTCATACATAATCTGATCTTGAACATAGTATTCATACATAATCTGATCTTGAACATAGTATACATACATAATTGATCTTGAGCATAGTATTCATACATAATCTGATCTTGAGCATAGTACACATACATAATCTGATCTTGAGCATAGTATACATACATAATCTGATCTTGAGCATAGTATTCATACATAATCTGATCTTGAACATAGTATTCATACATAATCTGATGATTGAACATAGTATACATACATAATCTGATCTTGAACATAGTATTCATACATAATCTGATCTTGAGCATAGTATTCATACATAATCTGATCTTGAGCATAGTATACATACATAATCTGATCTTGAACATAGTATTCATACATAATCTGATCTTGAACATAGTATTCATACATAATCTGATCTTGAGCATAGTATACATACATAATCTGATCTTGAGCATAGTATACATGCATAATCTGATCTTGAACATAGTACACATACATAATCTGATCTTGAACATAGTATACATACATAATCTGATCTTGAACATAGTATTCATACATAATCTGATCTTGAGCATAGTATTCATACATAATCTGATCTTGAACATAGTATACATACATAATTGATCTTGAGCATAGTATTCATACATAATTGATCTTGAGCATAGTATTCATACATAATCTGATCTTGAGCATAGTACACATACATAATCTGATCTTGAGCATAGTATTCATACATAATCTGATCTTGAACATAGTACACATACATAATCTGATCTTGAGCATAGTGCACATACATAATCTGATCTTGAGCATGGTATACATACATAATCTAATCTTGAGCATAGTATTCATACATAATCTGATCTTGAACATAGTATTCATACATAATCTGATCTTGAACATAGTATACATACATAATCTGATCTTGAACATAGTATTCATACATAATCTGATCTTGAGCATAGTATTCATACATAATCTAAACTTGAACATAGTACTCATACATAATCTGATCTTGAACATAGTACTCATATATAATCTGATCTTGAGCATAGTACAGTATTCATACATAATCTGATCTTGAACAAGGTATTCATACATAATCTGATCTTGAGCATAGTACACATACATAATCTGATCTTGAGCATAGTATACATACATAATCTGATCTTGAACATAGTATTCATACATAATCTGATCTTGAGCATAGTATTCATACATAATCTGATCTTGAGCATAGTATACATACATAATCTGATCTTGAGCATAGTATTCATACATAATCTGATCTTGAGCATAGTATTCATACATAATCTGATCTTGAGCATAGTATTTATACATAATTGATCTTGAGCATAGTATTCATACATAATCTGATCTTGAGCATAGTATTCATACATAATCTGATCTTGAACATAGTATTCATACATAATCTGATCTTGAACATAGTATTCATACATAATCTGATCTTGAGCATAGTACACATACATAATCTGATCTTGAACATAGTACACATACATAATCTGATCTTGAACATAGTATTCATACATAATCTGATCTTGAACATAATACACATACATAATCTGATCTTGAACATAGTATTCATACATAATTGATCTTGAGCATAGTATTCATACATAATCTGATCTTGAACATAGTATTCATACATAATCTGATCTTGAACATAGTATTCATACATAATCTGATCTTGAGCATAGTGCACATACATAATCTGATCTTGAACATAGTACACATACATAATCTGATCTTGAACATAGTATTCATACATAATCTGATCTTGAGCATAGTATACATACATAATCTGATCTTGAGCATAGTATTCATACATAATCTGATCTTGAGCATAGTATTCATACATAATCTGATCTTGAACATAGTATTCATACATAATCTGATCTTGAACATAGTATTCATACATAATTGATCTTGAGCATAGTATTCATACATAATCTGATCTTGAACATAGTATTCATACATAATCTGATCTTGAACATAGTATACATACATAATCTGATCTTGAACATAGTACACATACATAATCTGATCTTGAACATAGTATTCATACATAATCTGATCTTGAACATAGTACACATACATAATCTGATCTTGAACATAGTATTCATACATAATCTGATCTTGAGCATAGTATACATACATAATCTGATCTTGAACATAGTATACATACATAATCTGATCTTGAACATAGTATTCATACATAATCTGATCTTGAGCATAGTATTCATACATAATCTGATCTTGAACATAGTATTCATACATAATCTGATCTTGAACATAGTATTCATACATAATCTGATCTTGAACATAGTATACATACATAATCTGATCTTGAACATAGTATACATACATAATCTGATCTTGAACATAGTGCACATACATAATCTGATCTTGAACATAGTATTCATACATAATCTGATCTTGAGCATAGTATTCATACATAATCTGATCTTGAGCATAGTATTCATACATAATCTGATCTTGAACATAGTATTCATACATAATCTGATCTTGAGCATAGTATTCATACATAATCTGATCTTGAGCATAGTATTCATACATAATCTGATCTTGAACATAGTATTCATACATAATCTGATCTTGAACATAGTATTCATACATAATCTGATCTTGAGCATAGTACACATACATAATCTGATCTTGAGCATAGTATTCATACATAATCTGATCTTGAACATAGTATTCATACATAATCTAATCTGAGCATAGTATTCATACATAATCTGATCTTGAGCATAGTATTCATACATAATCTGATCTTGAGCATAGTATTCATACATAATCTGATCTTGAACATAGTATTCATACATAATCTGATCTTGAGCATAGTACACATACATAATCTGATCTTGAGCATAGTATTCATACATAATCTGATCTTGAACATAGTATTCATACATAATCTGATCTTGAGCATAGTACACATACATAGTCTGTTCTTGAGCATGGTATACATACATAATCTGATCTTGAGCATAGTATTCATACATAATCTGATCTTGAGCATAGTACACATACATAATCTGATCTTGAGCATAGTATTCATACATAATCTGATCTTGAGCATAGTATTCATACATAATCTGATCTTGAGCATAGTATTCATACATAATCTGATCTTGAACATAGTATTCATACATAATCTGATCTTGAGCATAGTATTCATACATAATCTGATCTTGAGCATAGTATTCATACATAATCTGATCTTGAGCATAGTATTCATACATAATCTGATCTTGAACATAGTATTCATACATAATCTGATCTTGAGCATAGTACACATACATAATCTGATCTTGAGCATGGTATACATACATAATCTGATCTTGAGCATAGTATACATACATAATCTGATCTTGAGCATAGTACACATACATAATCTGATCTTGAGCATAGTATTCATACATAATCTGATCTTGAACATAGTATACATACATAATTGATCTTGAGCATAGTATTCATACATAATCTGATCTTGAGCATAGTGCACATACATAATCTGATCTTGAACATAGTATTCATACATAATCTGATCTTGAGCATAGTACACATACATAATCTGATCTTGAGCATAGTATTCATACATAATCTGATCTTGAACATAGTATTCATACATAATCTGATCTTGAGCATAGTATTCATACATAATCTGATCTTGAACATAGTATACATACATAATTGATCTTGAGCATAGTATTCATACATAATCTGATCTTGAGCATAGTGCACATACATAATCTGATCTTGAACATAGTATACATACATAATCTGATCTTGAACATAGTATTCATACATAATCTGATCTTGAACATAGTATTCATACATAATCTGATCTTGAGCATAGTATTCATACATAATCTGATCTTGAGCATAGTACACATACATAATCTGATCTTGAGCATAGTATTCATACATAATCTGTACACTTAAACGGTATCATGAACACATTATTCTATATTTAAATAACTTCAGGTAAAGTATTCCACTTCAATCAGTCCTGCCATGATAACGAGAGTGATATGCTAGAGTCTACAACATGGAACGTTTATGCACTAGTTTATGTTTTTTACGTGTATAAACCCAATCAAAGTCAGTAGAGTTAAACATTGAATTAAATGTTTTGATTATCAACGGTTGTGAATTAATTTGTGTAGCGCCTAATATGCAGGTTATTGCCTGCTCAGTGGCGCTTTACAGAAAGATTACACAATGATAAAAAAAAGGACAGTAAAAGCTAAGATGATGAATATTGGTGTGTGTGTGTGTGTGTTTTCCAAGGATTCAAAGCTAAAATATTGTCTGAATAGGTGTGTTTTCAGTTTTCTTATGGAATGAATCCCTTGATTTTGCAATTTTCAGTTGTGGTGTATTATGTTCATATAACTTCAATGTAATTTACTTTAATAACATTCGTTTATATGTTTTCATTACCAAAGACTGTGGCATTCTCAGTGTTAGAGTTTAAACTAACCTCAAGCTCTCTAATTTTGCGCAAAGGGTACTAGTATGTGCCTGTTGTTGTTTTAATTAATCCCTCATTTGCTGTATGACTAGTGGGAGTAGGACTAGTGGGAGTAAGACTAGTGGGGGTAGGACTAGTGGGAGTAGGACTAGTGGGAGTAGGACTAATGGGACATGGCCGACACAGCTCATAGACAGAGATGACCCCAGCTGGGGCTGTCTTGTGACTACAACAGAAATAGTCACTGCAACTCAAAACATTGATTACACAACAGTCTCGTTTCCTGTTGACTGCGTTCCGCCCTATTACGCAATAACCAGTCCAGAATTTTGAGACCAATTAATTTAACTGCATACATAAATATTAATCAGTATTATTTGATACATCTAAGCACTTGTATATTGCAACACTACGCTCCTTATAATCCCTGTAAACATGTCATGCAGTCTGCTCTGTCATACAGCGAGCACTGACAAACAGAAACCTGGAAATCATGGAAATCTCAAAACGAGGCTCTGCCGCTAGAAAAGTTTGGCGGTCTGGTACGGACTTGATATTATATCAATCACATTGTGTGTTACAGAACTACACTGAATAAGCACAAAGAACACATAACAGGTGTAACCAGTAAGCCAGATGCATTGTGAATCATTTTACGACCTCATCAAACTGGGGCAGTCTGTGACGTCTTAGTTAAGGTCATGCTGCCTACACCTCGCCATAAAATATAGAAATATGATGGCATTAAAGTTTAAAATTAAAATTCATTTGTAAATACCATTTCCTTATTAAACAAGGAATTTGAATTCAGTGTAACCATAGTTGTGTGTGATGTCTATTTTCACTTTCACACGAGAAAATTCGGATCGGCTGAAAAGTAGGTCATTCTCTGAATAGGTTAACGAGACTCATGTTTCAGTTTGATAGTTTTATTCATGTTGTGCCCAGTGTTGATTATTAGGGATGGCATAAAACACTGTTGTACCTGGTCCAGATAGATGATCTGCTGTCAACAATAAGATGTAAGTGAAATATGAAATTTGTGCTCATTTGAAAAGATATAAAAAACGTGTTGAATTAGGCCTTGGAGGGAGTTTGGTTAGAAAGAAAGAAGAATGGGAGACTGTAAGTGTCAGTCTTGTCTGTGTATCTGGTGTGATATGTAAAAATCATTCCACCATAAAGAAACTTTACGTTTGTTCAACATGAAACCCAATTTCATCTTTGAATGATTGTTGTAGACCGAGCCCGGCAAAGAGGATGAGACCAGCATCTCCGGATGAGGAAGAGGAGAGTGACAAGGAAGAGGAGAGTGATGACGAGCACTCGTCAGATGATGATGACCGACGAGACAGGAAGCTCGGTGTGGATGAGGCACTTGAAGTAGAGGAGGAAATGGCACTTCGCTTGTTGCATGGTTGTATTTGATGGCTCGGATGTCATTCGTGACTCTTGTGATGTGGGCAGCACTGTACAGATGTGAATACTGTGTAAATAAAATTATCATCAGAAAATACTTTCTTTGTTCACCCTGACATCATGGAAAGTCATGGGCCATTTTCCAATGCATATCCCTCATTACAAAATAAATATATATATATATATATATATTTAAGAAATACAGTTCGCTCTACCACCATGTATAGTGTAATAAAGCACACTTTCGCCCTGAACTATTATAGTCCTCGTGCTTTAACGTTATAATAGTTCAGGGCGAAAGTGTGCTTTTATTACACTATACATGGTGGTAGAATGAACTGTATTTCTTTTCTAAGATGCCAAATTTAATACTTTCTAAGGATAATTACGATTAATCTAAGGCAGAAAACAAACGACAGTGTCGGTGACCTAAATTAAGAATCCTCTCACAGGGCTAACTTGCGCGCTGTTCTATTGATGTGTCTGCCCCCTACGTTAAGACGAACGTTACCAGAAAAAACAAATGCTAAACAGTTTGATGATGGTTTACGTTCGGATTAAATATCTTCTCTAAATTATTTTAATTAGACCTGTGATCAACGTAAACCATATGGGGCAATATGTATGTGGCATTTCTACTATAAACGTAAAACATAAACGTAATGTTTCCACCAGTGACGTTAGCTGCGTGAAGCAACTGCAAACCAAGAAACGGGATGCGACAGAGTAGTTTACTGTAGGAGGCTGTACGAGGCGATGACAACTGACATGCATCGTGACGTCGCTTACATTGTGACGTAATGCAAAATTGTTCGATTACGAGGGGGCAGACTAGAATGGCATTACATTGTGACGTAATGCAAAAGTGCACATTATCGTCTGATAAAGTAGTCGGCACCTTTGATCTGTCACCAAAGCATCTTAGAAACACACCCAAATAAACACTGTATATAGCAAGCATTGATGAGCTACATACGTAATGCTAATTCCTAACCATCCCAAAACACAAAAGTCTAATGACCTCTTCATCATATAATGTCATTTTATATATCTGTCAAAAAACCCACTAAAAGCAGCGTAAAACTAAACTCACTCACTCTCTAAAACAGTACATAAACATTGCACATTTTCTTTGAACGTTGCATTAATATTATCAATATTGAGAAGGTCAATGGTTTTGGCAGCTGGACAGTCAAAACTATGCATGTAGCTCCAACTGAAACCTGTTTCTTAGACAGTGGTAAATATCCCTGAACATGTTTTGTCCACTTGGCTTCAGCAACAACCAAATGGTCCGCCCACAAGAGAATCTGCCCTCAACAGGAAGCTATTCTAGTCTGACACATCACAGTTGTTTAGAGTCTGCATGGCCTGTCATAAGGTTATGAAATGCTGCATCAGATGTCCACACAGTGACAAATGAACCAAGGTGACCATCTGGGCATGTTACATCTAATTCCAACTGTTCGTAAGTGGGAAAACTCCTGAAGTCACAGCAGTCTCTAATCACAGATGTGGAAACTCTTCCCACTAGGCTAGTGTCCTCACTAGATTGTTCAATGATTTGTGTCTCTTAAGTTGCCAAAACTTGTAAAATGCCTCAGCTCTGTCCCAGTTTGATGCTATTGGACAGACTCTGTCAGCATCGTAAGGCCTGTTTATACAGCGAAAATATACACATGTGCAAATTTGCATACATGAGTAAATTTGAATGCGGTACTTCCCAGATCCCAATGTCTGACACTGTTAAGAATCTTGGTGTGATTCTCGATCCAGAGCTTTCACTCGATCACCATGTCACCAATCTAATCAAAAGCTGCTTCTTTCATCTGAGAAATATTTGGAACATACGACTCTGCTGTCATCCTTGTCCTGTCTCTGGTGATGAGTAGACTGGACTATTGTAAGTCTCCTGGCCGGTGCTACAAAATCCCAGATCTCCAGACTACAACGTGTCCAAAACATTGCTGCTAGAATTGTGTCACTGACTCCAAAATCTGATCACATATCTCCAGTTTTGCGATCACTGCACTGGCTCCCAATTGAGCACAGAATAACCTATGAACTATGTTGTCTTGCCTTTAAGTGTCTCTCTGGAATGGCGCCAAACTATCTGTCCAGCCTCCTCGATATCTACCAGCCCACTAAATCTCCCAGATCAGAGAACAAACGATTTCTTCTTGTCCCTCGGGTCCTGACCAAACGATTTGGCCATAGAACATTCTCTTATTCTGCTGCTACTGCCTGGAATAGCCTACCCATTGAAATTAGACTCTGTCAAGACTATGTCAAGACTATTCTTCCTTTCGTTCTTATCTCAAGACCTACTTCTACAGACTCGCCTATTCCAAATGATTCCTACCACTTTTCTGTGTTCCTTACTGTGTGCACTTTGAGCATGCATTACGCATGGAATGGTGCCTTATAAATGGACTTTTATTATTATTATTATTATTATTAAATTTACATAGGGGTGTGCAATTTGCTAGGGTGTGCAATTTGATATGCGTTCATACGGACTTTAAGCAAAGATATAATAAATCTTGATAATAGTTTATTTCTGCCCTAGCAATTGATGTAGTAAGACGTGAGATATCATGTTCCCATGACCGACATTCTAAAAGAAAGCAAAGATCAAGTCATTGGTATACTGAAGCTTTCAGTAACTATTCAAAGCTGCTAACAGAAGGTGAAAAGCATTCTTTTTCTTCTTTTCGGAAAAAGTGAAATGTGCACTAAATCTAAAAATCCGTTATTCATAAGAGAACATGAATTATTACAAGACTTGTATCTAGATGATGTCCAGATTGCTCCAATGAACATGATGATTATAACAGCACTAAGAATATGGCTGGACAAACACCTAACTGCCACTACGGAAACGTCTCAAGACACAAACTGGAACTAACTAGAAGGATGAAATAGAAGAAAAAAAAACGCCAATGATTCTTCAAGGCGGTTAATGAGAACACAGAATTGAGTAAAAGTTAAAATAATCATGCATTTAATCATTTATAGTCTTTTGTCATTCATGAAGTCTACAAATTGTCTTCAGTATCAGTTATCCAAGAATCTTCAGTTGAAGACTGTTGTTTGACTGCCGAGGAATAGCTTGATGAAGGGCCCGGACCTCTGACCATTACACCTCCGTCATACTGTGCTGTACGACCCGTGCTGTATGGGACAGGAGGGGGCTGCTGTCCTGTCCCCCGTACAACTCTCATAACCATACTGTGCTGTACGACCCGTGCTGTATGGGACAGATGGGGCTGCTGTCCTGTCCCCCGTACAGCTCTCATAATCATACTGTGCTGTACGACCCGTGCTGTATGGGACAGGAGGGGGCTGCTGTCCTGTTCCCCGTACAGCTCTCTTCACGCTTCTGTCTTTCATCTGATTCCATATTGGCTTTCTCAAATTCAAGTTTTTGGCGCTCAAGTTCTATTTTCTGGCGTTCAAGGTCTAGAACCTTATCATCAGCTCCCTCGTTTGCTGCACTAAATCCATCCATCACAGATTTCAGTGCTACTTCCATCCTTGTCTTCCGAGCTCTTTTCTTTTCGCTCTTCTTTTATTCTTTCTGCTTTCCGTGTCAGATTCATCCTTTTCATCCCTTGTAATACAAACCAATATTAGCGATTTGAATGTATGATCTTTTGTTAAATAACTTTTATCCTAAGTTGAATAAAATTCTGAGATATAAATGTTCAATTGGCAAGGTAAAATTATGAGGATTCGCATTCTTAATTTCACTTTTTTCGATTTACTTTTTTGTTTAAAGTGAAATTCATCGGTACGTTTTCACCGCAAATAGACTATAAATGCATTGAACTGAAAACAACTTGTGACAAACCCAGTGCATTCAGACATTCGGCTGTAAGGCACTGTAGTCTTGATACGATGAATCCATTGTTACACCCTGGCTTCCTTCACAACCTTACTGTGATTGAATTATTGGTCTGTCCACGCATGTGATTGGTGAGAGAGGCGGAGATCAATACAATTTGCGTTTTGTGAAAAAACCTGTTAAACCGTCACGTTGTCGCCATTCATTAATTCTTCTGCGACAGTCATAATTGTGTCGCAACAATGTTTTCTTCCTGGTGCGACAAGATACATAAAATCGTTTGCACATTATGACCCATCAACAGAGCCATTTAAAACTTTGGGGAACTATTTATTGTAATGCTGAATAATGTTACTGATAACAAGTTACTTTGTTATGCCAAAGGGGAACAAACTAGCCTTCTGTTTAGAACTGTGGTATAAAATTAGGGTAACGACCTTTCTAGCCTATCTCAAGGAAATCTTTCATATATGGTTCCACGTGATATGATTCTGGTGAGTTTCTTTCTTTGCAGTGATTGTGTTTCAGGGACTATGCCTGAAATTTATTGAAAGGAAAAAAATATTCCTGTATTTGTTTAATAATTAGCGTGATAAAGTCCATACGCTGACGACCCAGATCTGCTAGAGTTTTGCTTCTGTTCTCCATTGTTGCAACATGGGTCAGGTTAGGCAATGTTACAGAAGTAATGTTTCGTCGGGTCATGAATTCCAATTTGGATTTTATATCAAGCATAAGGCGGAGACTTGTAAGACCGAGTTTGACACAAGTTAAAGCACACATGGAAATCCCCTCAGAAGACATTGGTTGCCATTGCAGTGTCAATCGCTGTATGTCCCCACGTCTGTTGGTGCCTAGTCCCCACCGGCTTCACATACTTGGTTATGGACTACATGCTCAGTGGTTGCTTCGGGCAGACAGGCAGACACTCTACATCTTCAAATTACACAATAGTGTTTCTTGGTAGTTTCCTTTGCCAAATTGGCCGCTAGGAAACAGGTGAGTAAATGGTTCTATATCTGGTTAACATTTTAGTGTTGTTAAGTTTCTCAATGTTCAACTCTAGAAAGAGTTTTATGAAGCCCGTTTACATCATCAATTTGTTGTTTTTTCTGTTGAATTCAAGATGATAATTTAAAACTTGAGCTTATCCTGTTTTCTATTAGATTTATAACATCTCCACATTAGTGTCCACCACAAGGTCAACTCAGACCACATGGACAGACATTGTTTCTCTTCGTGATATGT